GTGTGCATTTTGTTGGGCTCATGTGTCTGTACTCTTGTGCCATCGGGTAGCAGATGAAGCACGTAGAAAAGGCTGGCTCATTTCTGTCCTTGTTGTGTAAAGGATTTCAGCTTCATGGGCCCATGTTCTACCCTGCCGCCTGCATTGCACCAGTTTCCTGGGTGCCTTTGTTGACAGCCTGCCTTCAGCTCTCCTTGAAGCTTCACTGAGGCAGCCATTATTGACCCTTTGACCCTCTTCATGCCCTGGAGCAGTCACATGGGTCTGATGCTCCCAGTGAACTTTTAAAATCCCAAGAGGGTGAGAGGTTCTGGGACCTCTATCTGTGGCCCTAGTGTCCCACTTGGCATATGCTGGCTCTTTTGACTCAAAAAGTAAAGAGGAACTTTTGGGAGAAGCAACAAGTCACTTCAACGAACTTGTAGACTCATAGGGGGTGGACACACGTTCAAGTAGTCTAATGTTTGACTCTGCCAACATTTCCTAGAACTACAATTGTGCTTTGGTATCAGCTTGTCTCAGCCCCACAGTGCTGATTTTCTCCATTATGTTACCAGGAAGTCGGTATCTTTAGTTTTTTTTTTTTTTTTTTTTTTTTTTTCCGAGCCTGTTCACCTTTCTCCTCTATTTTATAGACTGCAGCTTTGTCTTCCCCTATCCTTGGGTGGGAGGATTCTATCCTGGAGTCACTGTTAAGATACTTTGATCATTTAGCAAACGAAGCCCATGAGTCAAATCTAGCCTGACACCTGTTTTTGTTATAAAGTTTTACTGGGACACATAATCACCCTGTTTATGCATTGTCTGTGGCTGTTTTGTGCTAGGTGGTGGCATTAAGTAGTTGTAACAGACAACAAGTGTGCCCAGGAACCTAAAATATTTACTACCGGCCCCTTATGAGAAGATGTCTTAGTTAGAGTTTCTATTGCTGTGAAGAGACACCATGACCATGGCAACTCTTATAAAGGAAAACATTTAATTGGGGCTTACTTAGTTTCAGAATTTAGTCCATTATCATCCTGGTGGGAAGCATGATGGTGTGCAGTCAGGCGTGATGCTGGAGAAGGAGCTGAGGGTTCTACGTCGTGATCCACAGGCAACAGGTGTACTGTGTACCACACTGAGTGTAGCTTGAGCAAAGGAGACCTCAAAGCCCACTCCCACAGAGACATACTTCCTCCAACAAAGCCACAGTTCCTAATAGTGCCATTTTCTTTCAAGCCACCACAGAAGAACTTACTGAGTCTTGCTTTAAATGGTGGCTGCTAATAGCATATGATGGAAGACTTTGTGGTGAAGAAAGGGCGTAGGCATGAAGGATTTGGAAGGCCCAGGCTCCCACTTAACCACCTGAAGAGCTTTAGGCCAGCCAAATGGTGTTGAAAACATTATAGTTCTAGAAAAAATTTTAAACACCACCCACGAACACATCTGAGAAGCATCCTGTGTGTTTCTGAGCAGGCCACCGTTCTCCATGGACACAAGTCATCATGGCTGCCTTTGTCTTTTTCAGGAGGAAGAAGCCAAGAAGCTAGTGAGTGAAGCTATTGCAGCTGGCATCTTTAATGACTTGGGGTCTGGAAGCAACATTGATCTGTGTGTCATCAGCAAGAGCAAGCTGGACTTTCTTCGTCCATACTCAGTGCCCAACAAGAAGGGGACCAGGTAAGTGAAGGGGTTGGCATTTTTCTTGTGTCCTGTCACCCTTGGAATCTCCATGCTATCTGGATTGGGCTTTCTGGATTCTTTCCTACACTGAGAAAAGCCCGTGTTCCAAAGCAGCTTCTAACAACAGGTCTTGAGTCAAGGCTACCTTGTGATCACAGGTTGTGGTCAGGCATGGAGAATTGTCTTTATCTATCATGTGTTATCAGGAGAGAGCTTCAGGCTGAGAGCTGCTTCAGTGGTATCTTGTGAGGTGTGTGGGCTGAACTTTTTGTTCAGGCTGGCCCAAGACATCCTAAGGGTTCTAATCTGGTGGCTAGGAGCCTCTGAATTGTGGCCATGGTAGCTACCAGTGTTGTTCATGCTTTAGCCTAGAATGTGGGAGGTTCCAGGTTCCATCCTAGCCTTTGGGGTGGGGATGGACCCAACAAAGTGACAAGGAGGCTAGCTGGTGAGGTGATAAGGAAGGGGCTAAGCACAGGTAGGTATGCAATAGTCTGCCTTGGGGCAACACCAATATCTACACACTAGAATCCCTATGCCCTTTGGACTCATGGCTCTGAGGACGCTGCCTAGATAAGGGAACCCTCCCCAGAATGGACACAGGTGAAGGCAAAGGCTTGCCAGTTGCTCCATGCCCATCACCACCATGAACCTGGCTGCTGCCCTGCATGCTGCTAAGGCCAACAGCCTTACCCAAACGGTATGGGGCTCTTGTGTCCACTCCCTCTAAAGACAGAGTAAAGGTCAAAGTCAGCTTCTTGGGCCACTGGGACTTTGTTCTCAAGGCAACACTTAGGTACACCCAGCCCAGTGTATACCAAGAGACATCTTTAAACCTTAAGGGAACAAGGACAGACGTGTTTGGAAAAAAGTATACCTCCTCCTAAAGTCCACCTGAGCATCAGATACCCTTTCTTTCTGATCCTCATTGGAGCCTAAGTGCCTGTTTTAATGGACAAGTTTCCTAGGAGTATATGATCATGGCACAGCTTCCATTGGTCGGATACCAGCTTACTGGAAATCATTCCAACGTGAGACAAAGCAGAAAAGCAGGTGTTAGTACTGCATTTTGGCAGTCAGGATTCTGGAGAGTTAGAGATCACATTGGATCAGGGTAAGCACTTTGTGCTTTAGAGACCTACCCCAAGGAGGCAGGTCAGGTAGGTGTGTCCTGGTGGTGATCCACCATGCCCCTGTGGTGACAGTTAACCTTGTGTGTTCTGAAGTGATAAGCCTGGAGCTTGGCTTCTAGAGTTGTGGGGCAGAACGCCATTCTGTGTCACTCACATTGCTGCATGGAAGGATGTGAGTTTTAAGGAAGTGACAGCCTGAAGTCAAATGACCAAGTAACTTCTAGCATGTACTGAGGATGATGGAGTGTGGAAGGAAAAGGGAAAACCAGTGCTTTTATATTATCTCTGAAGTGTTGTCTGACACACACACCTCGCAAAAGTGTCTCCATTTTATAGCATTTGGAAGTGAAGGGTAATTAACTCCCTGACGCCAGAGGTGGAGTTCCCAGAACCAAGACTCCAGTCCAGCCTATTGCTCTCTGAGTACAATGTCTCTGTCCTGGCTTAACTGCTTTTGCTTCTCTCCTTAGGTTTGGCCGGTACAGGTGTGAGAAAGGCACTACAGCTGTCCTCACCGAGAAAGTCACCCCTCTGGAGATTGAGGTGCTAGAAGAGACTGTCCAGACCATGGACACTTCGTGAATGGTGCTGGGGTGGCTGGTTATCTCTCTGGGTGACTGGGGTACACTCCACCCCATCCCACCCCACCTGAAAACACACATTCGGCTACTGCTTGCTGAGTGAGGCTCAATTAAAAAAAAGACAAAACTCAGTGAGTGGCTGTAATGTGGGGACTGTGGGTCTGGGCTCCAGTTGACCTGACTCTCCTTCCATGTTCTGAATCTTTCTAGCACCAGTCTGGATTTCAGTGTCAGTGGTGTGGCCCAAAACCAGATTGGGTTCCTTTGGCTCTCCAAGTGACCATGTATGACATGGTCTGTGGCTTGCGTACTTCATCTTCACTTGTGGGGAGCCCCAGGAGTTTGTCCTAACAGGTGATCCAGTATCCATCAGCCTGCATGTCAGGTGTACGCAGTGAGGGAGTCTTGGGCTGTGACCTGACCCAGTGGGTGGCTTGCCCTGCATGCACCCCAAGTTTACTCCTAGTACCCTGCCCTGTCCCCCATATACACATGAGGCAGACACCTTCAGTTTGAGTCCTTGGACTGTACATGCTCAAGTCTAGAAAAGGGCAGATGGAGACTTGGCTCTCCCATGGCTGTGTGAAACTCGTGACAGTCGAAGGAGTACACGGGGTTTGCTCTCTTGTAGTAATTAGGACATATCCTTGCACTGCCTCTCTGGATGGTGATTGGTGGAGACTCTGGACATCCCAGGGGCCATTTTATTGGGCAGTTGTTTCTCTTGGTATGGACAGTGGGTGGAGTACTGAAATTTAAGTTCTTTGATCTACAAAGGCTAATTGTGCCGAAGACAGAACAGAGGCTCTGAGAGCAGACACAGTGCATACCAAGAGTCAGGAAAACTTTCAGAAGTTAGAGCTGGGCAGGAGGAAACAGCAACTCTGATTGAATACTCAAACCCAGAGTGAGTATTGTGGGGTGGGCCACTGGAGGCCCACTTCCCTTGTGGAAACTGCTGGAGGCAGCTTGAGAGAGTACAGTGGATTTATTGAGAGTGGCAGCTTGGCTGATGATTCTCAGAACTACTTGGAGGACTTAAAAATATTCTGGTATTCCTTGGACTGTTTGGGGCCTGGCAAGTTGTTTCTAAAGGTGCCTCAAGAAGTTGTGCTGCTGTTGAGTACTCAGTTTATAGTCTGCAGTTCAAGATGACACTGACAAGCTGTTAGAGCCACTCCTAGGCTGCTCAGCAGTTATTCCTCTTCCCATTTTGTCTAAAACATGGAGAGCTTAATCTGAGCAGAGCCCATACCTGGAGTGCAGGCTCTGCTCAGAGGGTGGTGGCCAGCCAGGACCCTATTTTTGGGAGCTCTTTCTTGGTAGTAAGTTCACCCAGCAGCAAGTTAAGCATCACCTGACAAGACACAGCAGCACTGGCCTGTCACCAAGTGGGTACTGCTCGAGTATTGCATAGGCCAGTGGTTCTCAACTTTCCTAAAGCTGCAACCCTCTAATACAGTTCCCCATGTTGCGGCAATCCCCAACAATAAAGTTATTTTTGTTGCTCCTTCCTAACTGTAATTTTGCTACTATTATGAATCATAATGTAAATATTTTTTGGAGATAGAGGTTTGCCAAAGGGGAACAAAATAATTCAGACTGTTTCCTCCAGTACTTAAGTTTCCTTAAATTCACATTTATAAGTTAGTTTTCACAGTTAGTCCTATTGAGAACAGAAAGTAAATGAACATATTTCTGCTTTTCCTGCCCATAGTACAGTTGTATTTAATTCTTGACTCTCATGGACTGGAGTTTTCTGAAGGGCAACAGGCTGCATTTTTGGATCACCTGCCACTGCTGGCTGGTTTGCATCTGTTTTGTCTTGTTTTGTTTGAGATAGGGTCTTAGGTAGTCCAGTCCAGTCTCAAACTTCCCATATAGCCAAGGGTGACCCCTGGGTTCTTGATCCCCCTGCCTCCTCCCAAGTGCCAAGACAACAAACTTAGGCTGCCATGCATGCCTAAGTAGCATCTTTTGTTTTAGATCCTGTTAGTCACTTGGAAGATAGACACTTCATTTACCCTTTTTGCAGATGAGGAAATGAAGGCTCAAAAAGGCCAACAGACTTGCCCAAGTCACACTAGGAAGATAGAGAACTAGAATTTGTAAAGAACAGTGTGAGGACAAAGCTCTTGGGTTTTTCTTGCTATCTTCCCAGGGATGAAAATGCCATGTACTTATCCTACAGTGAGTCACAGTATTCCAGGAGGCAATGGTACATGGCAGGGTTCAGAAAAGGAGGACTCTCCTACCTCCCAGACGCCATGCCTCTCAGTGCCCGATGCTGGATGCTCCTCACTGTCACTCATCGAGTTATAAAATGCATAGAAAGTATTAGCAAAGTCTCTACTCTAAACCATTATTTCAGTTGTATCCCCTTACAAGAGAATAAAAGAAGCACACAGCCTGGCTGTATGGAAAGGTACTAAGAACTAAACCAACTGGTGTTAAACATTTGCAAAGGCTCACCCACACCAGTCACCCTGTTTCCTGCAAGTCTCCTGACAGTGTGGGCCTGGACAGGTATGAAGGAACCAGGCAGAGGTTCACATTTCAATTGGTACAGGGACTTCAGTGATTGCCAAGCCCCTTCCCCCCACTAATAGCCCAGCTCAGATTGTCTGCAACAGTTCAAAGAAAGGACTTTGGAGTTTGACCATAACCCAGCTGCCTTCAGCTCAGTGGCAGAGGCAGCCGCCTTTGGGAGCCTGCTGAGCCCTCTGGTCTTGGCTGTGGGGGCTTCCATGTGCCCTTGGGGAGAGAACTCAAGTAAGACAAGTGGTGTTTGGCTTTGAGGCATGCTGCATTCAGGTGCTGGATGTCCAGACATGCATCTGCCTAGCCACTTGGTGCACATATCCGATGTCAGGCCGGTGGTCGGGGTCAGGGTAGATACACATACTGACCAGTTCCCGAAGCTGCAAGGAAAGAGCAGTTCTGTTAGTCTTAAAGTGCTCAAGTACTTTACCCACATCCACACGTTCTGCTACATGGCACCTCAGATGGAACTGTTGTCCCCTTTCAAGGGAAGAGTGCTTTTCAGGATAAGGTATATGGTCACACAGCTCTTGGGAGTGGGGTGGGGGATGAGGTGAGGGGGGCAGCCCATGCATGCCTAGGCCTGTCTAGTTCCAAAGGTGATGCTTTGAGACCCTGAGAGTTGTTACCCTCAAATAATTTCAATTTTCAACTGCACACTGTTGGGCAGATTTGTGAGTGTGAGTACCCTGTGCACATGTGTGTCTGCTGTCAGTCACACAAAGCCCAAACCAGAGAAAACTCAAGGAAAGGGCTTATTGATCATAATAAATGCATTAACATGCAGCAAGGCTGCAGTCTGAACACCCCCTGGCCTCTTCATTGTGCTCATGAAAGACACGCTTTTAATTATCCAGACACTGAAGGCTTTGCCCGCCAGGGTGGGGGAGGGGCGCCTTAAGCCTCTGATCCCTCTCGTTCTGATAGCCAGAGTGCTAGTTATTTTAATGGTAATTAAAATGATGACCTTAAAAAGCCTGGGTTTTAAGTGTTCAACACTGGGCAGGCTGCACCGTTTCCCATCTCAGTGCTGGTAGTCACCAGCAAAAGTAGAGAGAGGGGAGGTCCTGGACCAGAGAGCTTTAAGGCCTCAGGAGGCAGAGCCTGGGGAGGGCCCAGGGATGTTCCAGAGGCCGGGGGCTGCAGCATACACCTCAAGCTCAGGGGCCGGTCAGTCTTGGACTCCTGCCACACTGAGCAGCTGGCTAACTGTATAGAACCATAGGCTGTACCTCCCTCTTTTGCCTGGCCATTTTGTGATCCCACTGCTTTATAAACACTGGAGTCCATGAGCAAGTGAAGGTGGTATCTGGAGTCCAAGCTCACCTACAAACAGCGATTTCTGAAGCTGCTCTGGAAGGGAACCATGGCTGACTCATCAGGTAAAAATATGAAAACCATGTCAAGGTGAAGTCTGCCCTGCAACACTTAGATGCTGACTACACAGTTACCAGTCATAAGGGGGAACAACAACAAGAACAAAATGACAAGATTCCTTAAGACATGATACAGCTTTAAAAGTGGGTATATTTAGGGACACACTCTGTGCTAAGTAGCAGGATTTGGAGCTGCTGCCTGCCGGGGGCAAATGCTAGTGAGACAGAATGGCTGCCGTAGAAGATAAAGCTAAGGGCTCTGGGGCCTTCATTTCTGCCTTGCAACTGAAGTGAGGTGATGGTGCCCATAGGCAGACTGGCACAGGAGCACAGAACTGGTGAGAGCCAAGTAGCATGTCTTCTGTAGTGAGGAAGTTCTAGTTTAAACAAGAGAAGGAACAAGCCAGTAAACTTTGTGAAGAATGCAATCCATTCTTTCCTGCTAATCTCCAGAACACAAATACTTTCACTGGGGAGAGGGAAGGGAGGGGGGGCTGGTGGAGAACTCCTCAAGCCATTGGAGCAGAAAGGTCCTATACAATTCTCCAGACTCCTGCCCTCCCTACCCCAGGGGTAGCACTATGCACAGGTGAAGGTCAATGAACCTGAAGGCTGTCTTGGAGCCTGGAGGCTTCTGCCTACGCTTTGCCCCGATAAACAGGGTGTTCCTTGTAAAGCCTCAACTCATCTGGAGGATGGGCTTTCCTTAGTGCAGTGGTTCTCAGCCCTCCTAATGCTGCAACCCTTTAATACAGTTCCTAATGTTACAGTGACCCCAACCATACAATTATTTTTGTTGCTATTTCATAACTAATTTTGCTACCGTTATGAACTGTAATATAAATATCTGTGTTTTCCGATGATTGTAGGCAACCCCTGTGTAAGGGTCCTTCGACCCCTAAAGGGGTTGCAACCCAAAGGTTGAGAATGCTACCTTAGTGGAAACATAATGAGGGAAGATTCTATACATATGAGCCATTATCATGAGGCAGTGGCCTTGGGTTCTATAGGAGTGGACCTGGGAAGACCTTAGACTCTCAGCAGATGGTGTTTAGCAACATTTCCATGAGCTGCGGTACTTCCAACAGCTACTTTTGATGGTGATGGCGATGCTGGCTTGGCTCTACTGAGCATGACACATGTAATAATCCTTACCATAAACCTGGACAGGAGATTCTAGTTTGTCCCCATGTTACAGATGAGAAAAACAAGACTCTAAGAGCAATGAAGGATGTACATAGACCTGTCTTGACTATACCCTGAGCCAGAAGGGTACCAGGAGATCTGTCAGTCACTCCTCATAGTTTATTCAGGAGGGAGATATAATTTAACCCATCTATAAAAATGATGGATCTGAGGATGACCTTCATATAGCCAGTAACTGTCTAGAGCCCCTGCACCCAGAATAAAAATGTGTAAGTCAAAACTCCCAGATTGTAGGCCTGTTATGTGGAGCAGGAGACCAACCAACTAGCCCAGGGTGCCCATCTCTCATCTCCCTGGTACTCAGTACCCCTAGCCTGGCATTAGGTCCTAGTTCAGCTGTGTGCTGCTGCATCCTACAAGCCTCAGGCACTTCAGTACCACCCCGCCTGGAAGAACACCAAGACTGGCCCCCAGCTTGCTCACCTTCTCAGAGTAATGCTCCCCTGGGAGAGGTGGGTAGTCACACTGCTCTATCTTCTGGCAGAGGGAGAAGAGATTCATCTTATCTCCATAAAAGGGGCTCTGAAGAGCTGCCATCTGCAAGGGAAGAGGGATACAGGGATCAACCATCAGCCTCAAGGTCTAAGATTTCAGAAGCCAAAGGGACCACTGATTGGTCCCCACTGCAGTCCTGTGGCTTTCTCCCTGTAGCCTGAGGAGGTTGGGATTGCAATAAGGAAGTGCTGTTGAATCCTGAGGCCACATCCCCAGCTCACGTAGGCCCTCTCTCCCAAGGACTGGCTGACAAGAATAGAGACTGTTCCCTAGTCTCTACCTGAGCCTGACAGGTTCGGGGGGGGGGGGGGGTGGGGGTTACCTTTTCTTTCAGACAGGATCTGACATGACACTTGTCAATGAGTGGTAGGCTAAGCTGGCTGGCCAGTGAGTCTCAGAGATCAGCCTATCTCCCTCCACCTCCCCAGTACACATGCACAGCACACAGCTTTTTCAGAGTGCTGGGGTTCTAACACAAGTCCTGCAAAGTAAGCACTTTCCAGCTGAGCTCCTTCCTCTGCCCATCTTTGTTTGAAGGTCTCACTTCGTATCCCAGGCTGTTGAGGGACTCATGTTGTTCAGGCTGGCTTGAATTTGTGGTAATCCTTCTGCCTCAGATTCTTAGGTACTTGGGTTACAGGCAAGTGATTCCATACCTGGCTCTGACTGACTTATCTAAAGAGTGGTGGCAACACCATTCTTGGGAACATGTCTGCCTGAAAGATACCTTCAGTGAAAGGTCATGCATGAAGGACCAATGGTTTTGGGACAGATGTAGATGTGGAGAGGGGGAGGTAGAACCATTTCCTTTACTGCCATCTGCAGGCTATTGCCATCTCTCTCAGGGAAGCTCCAGGGTGGAGAGAAGCTGGGCTCTGCAGTCGGCTGTCTGGCCCCATTAAGTTGGAAGCCCCAGCCTACAGGGTGTGGCAAGGTTCAGGCCCCACCCTAGGCACCTTGAAGAGAGGCAGGCTGTTGGGCACTGGGGAGTGACAGGACTGTTGGACAGTGGCCCTAGTGTGTTCTCACCCAGGCTTCCCTCTTCCTGAAGTAACCAGATTCCCCACCCCAGTGTTGAAGGCACCTGGGGAAAGCCTCAGAGAGGGTCTGTAGGAGCATGGAGATAGCCTAGCATGGCACCTGAGGGCCCCATCTGCTGATAAATCCATAATGGGATCAAGTGTTTGTAGTCTGAAGATTTCCTGTGTCCTGGCCTGCTGGTGGTTGGGACAAATCTTTCCCACTCACGTCCCCCAAGTAAATACACAGAGACCCATATTAATTATAACTGCATGGCCATGGCTCAAGCCTTTTGCTAGCTACCTCTTGTATCTTAAATTAGCCCATAACTATTAATCTATGTATCGCCACATGTTCAGTGGCTTTACCTGTAACGTCCCATTACATGTTGCTGGTGTCCCCCCCCCCCTCCTGTCTCTCTCTTTGAATTTCCCACCTGCCTCTAAGCTGCCTTGCCATAGGTCAAACAGCTTTATTTATCAACCAATCAGAGCAACACATTCGTAGTGAACAGAAAGACATTCCCCCATCACTTCCCCTTTTCTGTCTAAACAAAAGGAAGGTTTTAACTTCAACCTATTAAAATTACATATAACAAAAGTTATCAAGCAAGAATTATAGTTACAATGTCTAGTCTATTTGTATTTTGTAAAATAAAAAAAAATTTCTATCCTATATTTGTGAGTCTAAGGTTTCATGTCTAATTTATCTTTTATCATAACCAAGGAAAATCATAACTATCTAGTCTTCAACTACATCAAAGACCCCAGAAGGATATAATATTAAGTTTTCCCATGTCCCGCCCGGTCTACGGCTGCTCAGACCCAAGTAAACACACAGAGGCCTATATTAATTAAAACTACTCAGGCTTACTACTGACTAGCTCTTACACTTAAACTCAGCCCATTTCTGTTAATCTATGTCACGACGTATTCCATGCCTTTACCTGTGTGCCATTACATGCTGCTCCCTGGATGGCGAGCTGGCTTGTCTCCCCCCACCCCCAACCTTCTTCCTGTCTCTCTCTTTGAATTTCCTGCCTAGCTATAACCTGACTTGCCATAGGCCAAATGGCTTTATTTATCAACCAATCAGAGCAACACATATTTGCAGTGTGCATAAAGACATTCCCCCATCAAGTGTTTCCTGTCACTTCTGTTGCCTCCTGCCAAAAGACAACCTAGTCCTTCTTGCTAGTGAAGGGCCATTGGGTAATCATGTCCCACCCAGTGAAGGTCCAATCTGTTTGACTCCCTAATGAGAAGCCAGGCTGCCGAGGCCTTTGCTCTGGATCACTGGCTGCGGTCCCCTTGGCCCTGGCCTTGGCATACCTGAGAAGTCCTCTGGACTTATGTGGAGTGGGCCTGAGTTCTAGCTTAGAGCAGGAGGGAACCCAGGGAGGCTGTATGACTGTCAGCTTTAGTTTCCTGGTCTACCCCCACCCTCTGCTCACCGCTCGGATCAGCCTGGTTCCAAGAACAGCTTGCCATCTTAAGAAAGGGCCTGGGGTAGGGCAGTGAGTCTGCAGATGGCTTCAAAAGTAGAGGGCACTGGTTTAGGGTTTGATGCAGGAATTTACCCTGGGCTAGGCAAAACATGCAGATAGGTATGGAGGTTTGTGGGACTGTTGACCTTGGGTCCCTTAGTGGTGGTGGGGACAAAACTGGCCCACAAGCCCCACTTCACAATAAGGTTGCATTGATCACCTATACTAGGCACAGAGTGGCAAGTATACAGAGGCCCCACCCACACCCAGAGGCTGGTTTTGCCACGAAGTCTGCAAAAATGGCTTGACATGGGTAAAATGCCTCCAAAAATGAAAACAAGAGCCTTGGTGCCGACAATTATTGGGCAACTTCAAAAGGACAATTGCTGCCATAGTACGGAGCAGCTGAGGCTCCTAGGTGGCCCTCAGAGTGACCTAGTGCCCTCTGAGTCACAGCTGTAGGATCCAGATGAGTGTCCTGGCTTGTTGTAGGTAGACAGGGTGTTGAATGTCAGTCCCTCTAATGCTGACCTAGTGATTCCTATGTGTTTAGGCACCAAAGTCAGGACTTAGAACAGCCTGCTTGGCTGGGAACCCATCAAAGGCATGACTGGGTTTGGCATACACTAAGACAGGGCTGCATCTGCCTCTGAGGAGGGTAACAAAGGCTTGGGCAGGGGACAGGGCTGGCAGGAGCAGAGGGAGGCAGCTGTCATCCTCCACCCTTCCACTGGGAGAGGGACTGACTGCCCTTCAACAGGCCAATCTGATGGATTTTCACAAACCTGGCCCTTTGGAACTCCAAATAGCCTAGAAAATTGGGGTAAGGGGTGAGCCATCAATCTCTTCCTTCTCTCCCTTGCCATCCCAGAAAGCATCTCTGCACAGGATCAGCAGTGAGCTTTCCCTTCCACCAGGGCTTCTCCAAACTCAGCTACAGGTTCTATCAGAAGCCATGTCTAAACTACTCACCATCTAGTTGCTTGCCCTCGGCCTGCCACCCTGCTAAGGATGGCAGGCTGTGAAGTACCTTGATGGCCTGCTGGTGGTATGGGGATTATAACGATTACCCAGGATGGCAAGATCTACTCAGACTAGTGGCCAGCCAGCCCCTGGCAGGTTAGAGCAAAGGACTTGCTATTGGGGGCACAGATACTAGCTGTTTCCAAACCACCAGAGTCATGGCTTTCTTCACAGCTGAGTCACAGGCCTGACTTTGCCTCCCTGGGGCTTTGGGTGTGGCACACAGCCCAGGAAGGGTAAGGGTTGTGTGTGTGTCTGTGTCTCAAAAGAACCTAAGGTGTAGAAGGCGAAGGAGATGAGGCTTGACTTAAGAACCCCAGACACCTATCTTGTCTGTCACCCAGCTTCTCCCAAGCACAGCCTGGAGTGAAGGGTAACCCAGAGGGGACATGTGTCCCAGTTCTCTGAGGGAAGGGCTTTCCAGACCATTCTACTGGTCAAGCCAGAATTCCAAAGCAGCTTTTCCCAGCCCACGGTATTGCTGGGTCTCTGTCCTTGGTGGGGCCTTTGAGGTCTCCCTGCCAAGGGCTGGCAGCAAGTGAGCCGCATTTGGCTTCATTATCACTTCATTTCCTGCCCAGGAAAGGTGCACAGGGGCTTTTAGACCTCAGCCAATGCTGGGGTTCAACAAAGGATGTCTACGGGATTGTTTCCCCGGGTCATGGTGACATGGCACGTGTTCCATGGGAACCATGAGAATCCTCAGTAGTCTAAGTTAGGAAAGGAGTGGGGGGATGGACTTTGTCCCAGTGCTTCAAGCTGACACCATGGGAAGACACCACAGGTGGTCTCTGGGAGGTGGCAGCCATGACTGCAGGACATCTCTTGCCAATTACCCAACACTGGGCCCAGATGAGGCCCCTCCTTGTCTGCTGGGAAAATATACACTTCTTTCCCTGATGCACTGCAGGGGTGCAAAGGGATGCTAGCTTCAGCAGAGTCGGCTGTCACTGTTGAGGGCAGTCCATGAGTGGCCATGGCCTTCTTCTGTCCTTGTGGGTAAATATCCTTTGAGGAATATCCTTTGTGGGTGAATATCCTTTGGACTTATTTGGCTTCCCACTGCCTTTTGCTCCTACATGGCTACAAGGCACGCAGCACCACACACTGCGAATGACTAAATCAACTGCCTGAGCCAAGCCCTGCCACCACGCTGGAAGCTACCTCACCAGGTATGTGTTTAGGCACTAAGTCAGGACAGAACAGCCTGCTTGGCTGGGAACCCATCAAAGGCATGACTGGGCTTGGCATACACCAAGACTAGGCTGCATCTGCCTCTGAGGAGTGTAACAAAGGCTTGGGCAGGGGACAAGGCTGGCAGGAGCAGAGGGAGCCAGCTGTGGTCCCCTACTCTTCCACTGGCTCTGGGGGATGCACACAGTTATCCTCTCAGCCAGACTGTGTTTATGTTTAGAGACCCTCGTGACTCTAAGGGGACAGGAAGCAGCTTCTGAAAATAAACAATACAGGATGGGGAAAGAAAATAAGCCATCTGGATGGAGACAGTGTACATGAGAGTAGGTTAAAGGGGGCTCCCTCCATGAGGACCCAAGCTGAGCTGTGCTGAGACCTCCTGTTGGCCAAAGCAAAAAGGGAAATGTGTCGAGCTGTTGGGCTTCTAAGGACGGGCAGCAAATACCAGCTGCTCAGCTCAACTGGTCAGTAGGTTCAGAGGCCTGAGTGTCTACAGCTGGGTACCTCAATTACAGGGCCTCGTGCACTTCTCTCCACATGTGGGACAGCTGGAGCTGATACGGATGGGACTGATGACCCAATCCTGTGGGGACTGCTGCTGCTGAGATTTGGACCTTGGGTCCGTTTGCCCAGTCTAGGCATCTGCCAGACACTGCATCTCTCCCCTGGAAGGCCCAATGGTTGAGAGTTCTGTGGGCATGCTCACAAACATGAAGTCAAAATCACTCACGCTTCCTGATCTCATGTGTTTAAGAGTATTTGGTAGTTCCTGAACAGCTGTCCCCTCACCCAAGCACTTGACATGCCTGGGCCATGCTCTCTTAGAGGAGTCTCACCCCAGCACCTGACACACTTGGGCCATGCTCTCTTAGAGAAGTCTCTGGATCCCTGTTCTGACCCCAGGCCCTAGACAGGTCTCATTAAGTCTATTCCTCAAACTGTGGCCTCAGAGTCTCAAAAAGACTTGGCCTGCCCCATTGTTGACTGTTCTGGCCTAAATTGCCCACAGTCCTTCCTGATGACACTGGGCTACCGAGCCCTAGGAGGTGACCCATAACAAGGGCACCTTCTCTAGCCAAGCATTTAAAATGGATCACCTTCAGCTGGGTACAGTTCAGTAGCAGCGCTTCTACCTCCCACTCCTCCCCTGGAGAAAAGGCAGTATCTGCCCTAACACATCTCAAGCGCCTGGCTCAAAACGAGACATTGAACTCTACAACATGTAAAGAGATTGGAATTTTGACCCCAGACAGACCATCTGGAAGCCAGGAGGCGGCGACCCCATTGCCGAAGAGCCCCATGTGGACCGGTAGTCGGGTGTGTGCCTGCAGCTCACACAGCAGAGCCATGGGACAGTCCCCAGAAGCCAAGGTGTAGCCCGGGGCACTTCCTGAGTGTCACTGCTGCAGTCAGTCCCCAGCCATCAGTTTAATAATGGAGTTCTTTAGGTTGACCAGTTCAAGCCAGACCCACACCCCATGCAAGCTCAGGGAAGCAAAACACAGGGTTCCAGTTCTAATCCCAAACCCCTCACCTGCCTGCCACCTTGCATATTAGGGCTCCAATCATGTAGCCAGGGCTCGGTGCAGACTCTTGGGAGTGCCCAGAAATGGGTTCCAGCAGGCTGATGGGAGGTGCAGCCACCAACATGGAGACATAACATGGAGACCTCAGATGGCCCAAGCTTCACCTCTCTTGTGCTCCCCAGAGACCCATTCCCAGGACCCCACTGTGGCTATCTTAGATGATAAGCATCATACCAAGATTCAACAGCCCTGTCCCTGGCTCCAGGCTGGCTACCAGATCTGGAAACAGCCATGGATGGCACCATTTCACAGCTAGGGAGGGGAAAGTTCTGCAGTGAGACCCACATTGTTGGGCCTAGAAAAACAGGGTACCTCCTTAAGGGGAGTAACACAGGGGCAAGAGCCAGGTGTGACTCCATACCCATTCCCAGTGCCTGTGTGGGACCTGTCTACCAATGAATGATACACAAATGTGGTTACCAAGGAAACCAGAAAAGAGCAGCGGAGATGCTCTGCTGGTCCATCCCCTCCTCAGAGTCCACAGTACAGCTTACTACCAGCTACCCTTCCAGCAAGGATGACTTGATCACATCACTGAGGCCATGTCTGCTGAAGGGTGAAGGACTGGTCTTCAAGGATCCTGAAACTGCAGGTGGGTATGTGCAGCACCAGTACTGCCCTAAGCTGGTAGGTGAGCCCATCTTACCTGTGTCCCCATGGAAGTCCCCACAGGCCACCAATCTGCACATGAGAGACTTACCTCATACAGCAGACAGCCTAGGGACCAGATGTCTGACTTAAAGTTGTAGCCATTCTCATGGATCCTCTCTGGTGACATGTAGTATGGTGTTCCCACTGCAATACAAGGGGTGGACTTAGGAGCTGGGCCTCAGTGGGGCAAGAACAGGGGTTCAGGGAGAGAAGATGTGGCTTGTCCCCTCCCTGGTTAGCTGAGATAGCTGCCCATGTTAAAAGAACTTTAAGTGGATCCCCAGGATCCCTCAGATTTAAGAACTGGTTAGGAGCCACATAGCCAGGGTTCAATACAACTGTTCAATGCAGAAAAGCAAGTGACATTGTCCCTTTAGGTAACAGTTTGTATGTGGACAGTCCAGAACAAGCTCTCAACAGAAAAGAACGACTGTCCTTGTTGACTAAGCCACATGAGGGGAAACTGAGGCTGAGGCAGGTCAAGAGGCTTTACATAAAGGGTCGATCCATTAAAATGATCAACTTCATGATGACAGAGTCCTTCAGTTCACCAAAGATATTCAGAGCTGAATGGCAAGCTAGGGTGTAATGGTTTGAATGAGAAAAGTCTCCCATAGGTTCAGGTACTGAACCTTTGAACCCCAGTGATGGTGCTGTTTGGGAGGTAATGGAACCTTTAAGAGGTACAGTCTTGCTGAAGGAAGTTCGTCAGTGGGGTGTGCTTTAACCCCACTTTCAGGTCATTATGATCTCGCAGCTTCCCACTCTGGCTGTCTGCTGCTATCTTAGTCACTGTTCTGTTGATGTGAAGAGACACCATGACTAAAACAAACTGGGGAGGAAAGGGTTTATTTGGCTCACACTTCCACATGATAGTCCATCAGTGAAGGAAGTCAGGGCAGGAACTCAAGCACGGCAGGAACCTGCAGGCAGGAGGTGATGTGCAGGCCATGGAGGGGAGCTGCTTACTGGCCTTCTTACTCAGCCTGCTTTCTTACAGCACCCAGGACCACCAACCCAAGGACGGCCCCACTCACAATGGGTTGTGCCCTTCCACACCAACACTACTTAAAAAAAAGAGCCCACCGGCTTGCATACAGTAAAATTTTATGGAGGCATTCTCTCAATTGAGGCTCCCTCCTCTCTGATGACTCCACCTTGTGTCAAGTGACAAAAAACTAGCCAGGACAGCTTCTGTGCCTCCCTCAGTATGGGCTCCCCCTCTGGAACTGTGAGCTAGAATAAGCCTTTTCTTCTGGTCACGGTTATTTTATCAGCAAGAAGAAAGTAACTAATCCACCGGGATGGAGAAAATTACCTCGGGTCTACCTGACACAGACTGACACCTCACCAAGATGGTTTGGGTCGGAAACATCCCCTCCCCCAAAGACTACATGCTAACAGTCCCCAGCTGATGGCATAATTGGGAGGTGGTGGGATCTTCACCTCTGTTTTGTTCCAGACGGGGGTATAAACTTCTCTGGGCTGTGGCTCCTGAACTCCCCGGGCAGGACAGCTCTGGTCCACGGCAGGAGTCAAGGGGACATGGGTATGCTACATAACAGGCTGTGCATGTCTTCACTTTTTCTTTGCAGGCCAATGCTCCCTTTATTCAATAGATGATGGTCTGCGACGTGGTTCCCATGAACTCAAACATTGAACCATGACTGTTGCTTCATCATGACAGCAGCCATCACTTAAAGACATGGTTGAGAACTGGACATCCTATCCTGTACTCATACTCTATGGTTATAATCAGACTGGTGGCTGCTCAGTAAAAGAACTGCCAGCAAACATGTGCAGCTGTGACTTCTTGAGGGCAAGTGGGATATTAGGAATAAACATCTGTGCACACCAGTAGTGAGAATACAAAACAACCCAAAAACAAAAAACAAAAACAAAACAAACCAATGGCCAGGTGTGAAGTGAAGAGGTGTCACAGCCAAACCACAGGACAGAATCCACAGGTCTTGGTCAGTAGAGGGAACCTAGGGACAAGCAGCACTGGATTCCAGCACCCAGGTGCTACAGTTGGAGGCAGCCGTAATACAAGGATGATGGTGCAGGGCTAGCCAAGAGACAGAGATCAGAACTGTGTCCCAGCAAGGCTGCCCTTGTAGCTCTTCCCACTTGTTCTGGGCCCCTTTGCTATCTGCTAGGCCCAGGCAGGAGGGACTCTAAGGTGGGGTGATCTGCAGGAAGCCTGGGTCAGACCTGTGTGTGTCAGCCTAAGTTCTCCTCCTAAAACCAGTTCTAGCTGCCATCATTCACTTCTGAGCTCTGCTCTACTGTGTTTGTGCACTGGGAGCTCCAGCAAGGCCGGCCACCACTTCCTCCCTCTGGCTCTGCAGCAGGTCCTGGCCACAGCCTGCATGAGAGCCAGGGTTGCTAAAGAGAGGCAGGAGAGCTGTTTCCCACTCCTTACCACTGCTCTTCCACCTCACTGATGTGGTTTTTAAAATTTTTTTTTCTTTTTTGAGACAGGATCTCACTATGTAGCCAGATGATCTGAAACCCTCTACATAAAACAGTTTGTCCTGGAACTCACTCACCTGCATCCTTCACTTCCTTTTTCTGTTGCAGTGTGGGGGTTAGAATCTGGATTTTGCCCATGTTAATGCTCTACCCTTGAACCACACTTCCAGTCCTTGGGTTTGTGAAGCAGCATCTCACTAGGCAACCCAAGCTGAACTTATGATCCTCCAGCCCCTGCCTCCTCTGCTGGAATTACAGATGTGTACCACCATGCTCAGGGAGGAACTTTCTTCCAAGATGCTGCCTACATTTCACCCATCCACCTGTCTGTCCTTGTCTAACCACTCACCTATTACCTGCTCATCAGAACCCATTCACACATCCGTCTGTCCCTACACCTGCCTTTCCATCTGGTGGTTGATGGAGCTGTGGCCCAATGCTGGATGGACCCTGAGGTGAGTGTTGCCCATCCCAGGATGTGTCTAGCAGGGTCAGGACGGGCCTGCACTGAGCAGAAGTCCTAGCAGAGTCACCAGGAAACGTTCTAGTAAACATCTAGCTAAGCAGCACTATCCAGGCTTGGAGTTTGGACACTTGTCCCTCTCCTAAGCTTCTGGAAGCACATGGCCAATTTGAGATGAGCCCCTGAGCCTTATTCACCCACCTGCTTCATCTGGGAAAGAATCACGAATAGCTAAGAGCAGTTTGGCCCATTCTGGAGGGCACTGTACCCTCTCCGCTGGTCCCCTGACCCAGGCTTCCTCACAGGCTGTGGGGCACTATACTTTGGGTGGAGTGTGCAACTTTTGCCAGGGGAGTAGGAAGCTGAGCAGCACAGCACTCCCTGCAGCTACGCCACTTTAGCTGGATTTTCTATCCAGGTAATGACAAATGAGGAAATACAATGGAGCATAACACATCACTTGTGTGTACAGATGAAATAACAGACCTGAAAGAAACCCACACTTGCAGCAGGCCACTGGAGAGTGTGTCTCCAGACCCCAGGGAAGGGTGATGCTGGAGAACCTGGAGAGAAACTGACAGGAGAGGGTATCTCCCTGGGCAGTGTTCTGTTCCAGAGGACACAGGTCACCTTGCACCAACTAGTTTCACATGTGCAGCAGAGCGAGCCTTGCCTGGTCTCAGTCCCTCCTCATAGCAGGGGACAGGACTGCACAGAAGAAAGAGGAGCCTACCCAAGCCTGACCTTCCTGAGTCTTCACCCTAGAACTGGGGATTCCAAACCTAGCAGAAACCAGAGAACATGGACCTCAAAGTGGAAGGCTGACTGAAGAGCCCTCCCACAGGCTGAGGGAAGAGTACTCCCACAACACGCTGCCCTGTCCAAACATACAAGCAGGATTAGAAATGCTCACTTGTTTGAGATACTAGACATGAAAAAGGCCAATGTCTGCAAGCTGCCCTTCCCCAGGTGACGTCATCCACCAGGTGGGACTGAAGCCTGGACTCCAGGATAGATGACAGGCAGAGCTATGCAAACTGCCCCCTGGTGTGACTGTTCTGGCCACTCTCCAGCCAAAGGCCAAGATGCCTTGGTTTCTCATCAGGGATGCTCTCATGCTTAGTAGTCAGTTTTCCTGACTGGACAATGAAAGGTGGGGATTGAAACAGTGTTTGGTCCTTGGTGAATTCTCACTAATGAGCGAGCATCCCTGGGGATGTCTGTCTGTGTGAACCACAAATCACCTCACAGCATGTTGTGGTCGCACACAGCAGGGTCCTGTGCATGGCAGCACAGGCATATGACAAGGAGAGCTCTGCTTCTCCCCACCAGGTGTCCCTGCCCCAGGCAGCTTGGTGGGACCCCTCTCTCCATCTGTCTCCACACCGTGGGCTGGTGGTCCTTGGAAATCCACCTGGACAGAGATGCTCTCTCACCCATGTGACAGTGACCACTGGTGTGGCCTTACTTCTCTCAACCTCGGTCTCCTCCGCTAAACGAGGAAGAAGGTCCTGGGTATGAGGCCATCTTATAAAAGCAAACTGTTTCTCAAATATTTCTAAAGCCCACCTTTTTATGACCTGCCCCTTCAGTGAAGTGAATGGACACTGAAATGCAGGGTGGCTGGAAGCTGAGGTAGCTGTAGATCCTGGGTGACACTGGGCTCCTCCGGGCAGAGTTTAGACTCTCACAGCCATCCTCTCACTAGCTCGTCAGTGCCAATCTGTGGTCCCTTTGCAGTCACACAGCCCAGCATGGTGCAGGGACAAAATGGTCTGCAAGCCCAGGACCGGGCCAGGCCTGGGAAGCAGCTGTGCCCTTTGACTGCTGGTCCCTGATGGGGTTGTCCCCAAAGGGCTCTGCTCCCCAGTCCCAGAGAGACCAGGCAGCCCCACAAGGTCTGAGCCTGAACAACCTCCCTTCCTGCCCCGGCCAGTCTCAGCCTGAGGCACCCTGTCACCACTGCCAAACACAAGGCTTGCATTCCTGCTCTCCAGACCCACCATTTGTCTCGAAGCTGCTGCCGTTGCTTGGAGCGAGACACTTGCTTGTAGCTTGTGAGCTGTGTATAGGCAAATCTTTCATTTTTCTTTCATTATGCCGGCGTGTACTGTCACTTAATTTTTATGTATGCAATCCTTCCTGACAAATATGATCTGCTGCCTAGTAATTCGTCTGACGCTCATTCTGTTCCGAGCTCTAATTACGGCTCCTATTCCTGACACTGAGGCAGCCGCTCTGCCACCGCTGGGTACCGCACCTGTCAGCCTGACCATGGCACTGACTAATGCCCTTTCATGCCAGCTTCCTGTTAGCAAATACAAGCATAAGGAGGGGCCAGGGAGGGAAGGCAAAGAACAGATTTGCATAAGCCCAGCTCTGGATCAGCAGCTTTAGGAGATGAGGAGGTTGCCAGGACAATGTGGCTACTGCCCCAGCATCCTTCACATAGTAGGTGCACATTAGATGCAGAAGAATTCATAGCCACATACAGGATGAGAAGGGCCCCTACATCCTTCCTGTGTCATGGTGTGATAGCAATTAGCTCTAGTTCTTGCCCAACCAGACTTATGTGTACTTAGCTGTGTACTGGCGGTAGAGGGTGCTTTCCTCTGGACTTTAGAGACTTTTGGTCCTGGGTTCTGAGTCTGCACTGCCAACCTCCAGGATTAGAGTAGGAACAGAGGAAGGGCCTTGGCTCCCAGAGCTGGCCCAGCATCCTCAGCCCCATGGTGCCTTCTGGACCGTAGTGCACATGGCCTGGCACAGAGATGGGCCTGGGAGGGCACCTTGCACCCATCTTGCAGGGTCTGCTCAGGAGGCCTGAGGAGGTGCCCAGCTTGTGGGGGCAGCCTCTTCCAAGTCCCAGTTCCTCCTCATTAATGTAATAAGTGTAGCAGTCCGAGCGGATAAAATCACACTGTCGGAGCAGCCAGGGCTCTGCCATCCCTAACGAGGCGATCCTAACCAGCTCTGACTAGTCATTGCAGCCTTCTTCTCCAAGACAGGACAGAGTGGGGCTTAGGCCTGACTGACAGGCCCAGGAGGCACTGCCTTTGCTCTTCGCTTACTGTTTCCCTCTGCATTCCGACCTTTTCCAAACTCTTAAGCCAAATGGGTTGAGGTATGTTATCAGGGATAGAACACTTACTTGCCTAGCATGTGGGAGACCCTGGGTTCTGTCACCCCACACAACAAAGAAAAGGCATCCAAACTCAGTAAACAGGTGAGGCTTCCTTCCAGTCACGGAATCAGTAGCTGGGGATCCCTGATGGATCCCCTGGCCCTGACCTTGTGGAAGAAGTAGGTACTGAGCAGGACAGGCTGGCATTGTAGTCTCGGCTCTGGGGGACACCATGTGACCTTGAAATCACTCCAACTCCCTGAATTCCAGTTTCTAGATCCTGTGGCCTCTGAAGGTCAGTGGACATGTAACAGCATCCTCAGGTCCTTGGGGACAGCCCCTACACAGCCTTTTCTTGGGGCCAGGGAACCAAGGGAGTCAAACGTGAGGCTAGCCCAGGTATTCCTGGGTCAGGTGGAGGCCCACCCTCATCACACTCCTGCAAGCAGCTGGCTCATTTCTCACAAGTGCATGCTTTGAGTCTCAGCCATCATGACCCAAATGAACAGCGACAGTTTCCAGAGGGAAGTTTCCCCCAGAGCTCCCGTGCTGCCACCGAAGCTGCTGTTACATGTGGCTGGCTGCAGGTGTCCAGGTGTGGGGGGACTGGAGCTGAAGAGTGGATGGGACTGAGTAGAACTAGAGGTTTTTCTGGGAGGTGGCCACAGACCAGACATGCTGGCCCTTTTCCCTTCTGCCTCCCCTAGTGATACCCAAGAGATGCTGGGAACTGACTAGGGGAGAGTCGGGGAGATGCCTGCCTCTCATGGATTCCTGATGACACCCTGCTACACCTGGGCTAACAACACAGGACACTGTCTCTGTGCCCCACTGCTATGCGGCTCCATAAGCTAATTAAAGGGAAGAGGCTCCATTTCATCACTCAAGCTTCCTGCTTGGACATACAGGCACATCTAACCAGAAGCTCATCTGATTGAGGCTTCTCCCTCTTCCTGTCCCTTAACAGCCACCCTCTCCACACCCCCAACAGGGGCATCAAGGCCTGTACCCATACCCAAGCACCCAAGCTCATGCACCCTTCCCCCAATTGGATATAGGTCCTACCCAGTTGCTCATCCTCCACAGTCCAGCCGTCTAGCCCCAGACCCCAAGACTGACTTCACAGTCTTACAAGCAGGTCCACGTGGGGAGCTAACAAGAGCACAGCAAGAAGACCACAAAGCAGGCAGAGGCAACCTACTCTGTATGACAGGGTCTGTTGGCCTTCCAGAAAGTACTCAAGAGGTGCCCTAGGGTATAGGGAGACCTCCAGTGGCCTATCTGGGCCTCAGTTTCCTCTACTCTGGATCTATACCAAAGCAAGAGTGAACTCTAGGGGCTCAAAAAACATCTTCCCCATACTACGCAAATGCTTCCAGGAGAACGTCTGCCCTTCCTGCCAGGTCACCCAGGCCTACAGGGGCTGCGGGGAACACAGGTCCCTTACCTAGTGAGTGGGCTGCAGTGGTCTCCGAGCTGAAGAAGCGACCCAGACCAAGGTCGCCAAGCTTCACAATGCCTGTAGCTGTGATGAACACGTTGGCGGGCTTGATGTCTGCAGGGTGAGGACATGGGGTTGGTGTGGGAGAGTAGGCTTAGAAGGGATAGAAGGCCAGAGGTCTGGGAGTGACCATGAAGACCCTCACTCAGGGAAAACCAACTCCCACTGAAACATCAAAGTCCATAGGCAGGTCCCTTTCTCTGAGGCTTCTCTGCAGCTCTGCTTGCCACCCAGAGGGACCCCGGGACAGTTGCTCCCCAAGCCTCATTTTTTTTACCTATAACATGAGTCTATCTCCTTCAGCTTCCCAGATTGGACATGAGTGGGGAGCAGAGATCTCTACACTACTGTCTCCTTTTGTACAGCAGCCGCCCCATGCCAGAAGACTGGTAACCAACTGTACAGCAGACACCCCCTGACGTCACCCAGGGGGTACCAACTGAACAGGTGAAGGGACAAATGGAGACATCAGTTTTGACACCTTCCCAGCAGGCTTCACACCTCAGAGTGTCTCTCAGAAGTACTCACTGGTGTCCCTCCTCACTTCCTGGTGTGGGATGGGGTGTAGTTTGCTTAGCCAACTCCTACCAAGGTGTCAAAGCCCACAGGGAACTTCCTTTCTCTGTGCAAAACTGGCCTCAGTACCAGAATTGGCCACGTCTGGGACAACTGGAGACAACTGCTGAGGTGGCCCGTTCCTGAAGCTTATGTGATGACTACTGGCATCGGGTAATTCCCTTGCCCTCACAGGTGCTTCCTGACATGGAACAGATGTGAATGCAGCTATTGGATAGCCTGGGTGGGGAACATCATTCTCAGGGTATCTCCTGGGGCACTTGGAGATCTCAGGACTGGGGTCCCAGGTCCCATGGGTCACGCACCTCGGTGCATCACACGTCGGGAATGCATGTGTTCCACAGCGCTGCACAGCTGCACAAAGTATTTCCACACGGTCCTCTCAGGAATAAGACGCTTCTGCTTCTTGAAGTACTGTAGGGGGACAGACAGATAGGCCTGGGTGAGCATGCTTCCAGGAGGGGTGACACCGTGGTGGGGGCTGAGCAAACAAGGCGGGGCCAGATGCTGTGTCCACACCTCTCTTCAGCCCCATGAACTCTGTACTGTGAGATCAGAGCCTGGCCCACAGGGATCCTGGGGAAGGGACACTCACCCTCATCCCTGGCCTGGTGTGGGAGGAAGGCATCCAAGCCATGCCTGAGAGGTAGCCATTGTTGCCCCCACATCCTCAGAACCAGCAAGTTCCAGTGTCATGTGATTGTTAAAGGCATAGAAACCTTGGGGAGATGGGCGTATCTTTTTCAAGCAGCCCTTTGGTTTCAACAGGCATTAATCTGCCTCCTGGCCTAGTGTCTTAGGGTATCTACTGCTGTGATGAAACACCATGACCAAAGCAACTTGGAGAGGAAAGGGCTTATTTCATCTACTACTACCATACTATAGTCTATCATGGAAGGAAGTCAGAACAGGAACTCACAGGGAGGGAACTTGGAGGCAGGAGCTGATGCAGAGACTGTGGAGGGGTGCTGTTTACTGGCTTCCTCTTCATGGCTTGCTCAGCTTGCTTGCTTAGAGAACCCAATACCACCAGCCCAGGGGTGGTCTCACCTACAATGGCTGGGCCCTCCTCTATCAGTCACTAAGAAAATGCCCTACAGGCCTGCCTGCCCACAGCCAGATCTTATGGAGGCTTTTTCTCAATTGAGGCTCCCTCTTCTCAGATGACTCAACCTGTGTCAAGTTGACATAAGATTAGCCAGGACCTAGTAAACCACATTCAATCCTCCAGGAAAAAAGAAACAACTCCCCCAGGCTGCACTGAGAGAACTGAAACAGAAGGTTCTGGAAAGAGAATGCAGGAACACATTGCTGAGGTAACAGCTGTGTGTTGGGGTGCGTGAGCTCCTGGGCACCAGGCCTGTGCTGGGGTGCAGGGCAATGACTGGCACCCCAGTTTCCTGGTTACCAAGCTGTTATTCCAGTGGCAAGCAGCAGCACTGTGGCCTTCGTCAAGTAAATACTCTGGTGTGGGAAGCCAGAACTACCAGGATGCCCCCCCCCCCCCCCGGGCGAGGGAACGGGAGTGGAGGGAAGGCTGGTGTGCACAGGCCATGCTGCTGGGCCCTCGGGAAGCATGACGGCACTGAGGCTACAAAGTGGAGGTCAGTTAGGCCTTCGAGCTCCTCATCACACCTAACGACGGTGGGAACCTGTGACGGGGACCATGCCCAGAGAGACTAAGCAGCAGGTGCAGTGAGCTGGGATCCAGAGCTGGGCACCTCCAGATAAAGAAAGGGCCATGACAGCTTCTGGCCTGGAAGCTGAACCCCTTGAGGCTCTCCTGAGGCCCTTCTAGGAGGAGCTGGAGGGCTAGCTGTCCTGGTCTCCCAGAAGACCTCTGCTTTGGGCCACCCCCAGGCCTCTGCGGGAGGCTGGGCGGGCTGTTATTTATACCATAATGTTATTTGGTCCTCATTATAGTGTTTACGTGGGGACATGTGCAGTCGAGAGTAGTGATTTTCTAAATGTCACATTCTATAAGTGCCAGCTGACATTTAGTAGGAAAGCGCAGAGTCTCTGGTGGGTTTCAGACAGTGACGGCTCTGGGTTTCACCAGCCCTGTAAATAACGCCAACACCGTGGCTGGCTGGCTCCTGAGGCTCTCAGGACCTAGGCCCTGCTGACCAGTGACCTCTAACTGAGGCTAGTGGGAACACTGTGGTGTGTGTGACCCAGGCTTGGGGTTGGCTGCAAAGGCTGGGTCCCCTGGATACCTAGAGAAGTCTAAGTGGGAAGGGGTGTGGCAACAGATCATACCCAGCAGTGTGCTGGGTTTGAGGAAACTGGGCATAGGTGCCTGCTAAGTCATCCCAAGTGTGTCCAACTATGGCACTGCCCCAATTCCCCTGCTGGCTGGAGCTGCTATAGCCCTGGCCCTGCCCGTGAGGAGGCCTGTGCAGTCAACTGATGCAGGCAGGGAGGAGAGACTAGGGAGGGAAGCCGGGGCAGGAATGGCCTCCACACTACCCCGTTCTTTGTGGAGCCTAGGGAACACAGAAAGAGGCCAGCAGGCTGGCTACCCAGTCCATTTCCTTTAGTTTGAAGGAGTTGCCCTGGCGTACAGCGCTTTCCCAGAATCCTCTCCTAAAAGGTCACCGGGAAAGAGTAGACACTAGAGCTTAGGGAGGGGAGCATATGCCTAGCACCCACCCCCAACCCCAGCCAAATGCATCTGCCTCCATTCCACAGATTGAGAGATCACAGGGGAATCTGAGGTCCATGGGCTACAGCGTATGTAGAGGGTAAGGAGGGGCTCTGGTTCTCTGTTTCATCCCCATTCACCCCTCTGCTTGCCACCCAGTCTTCCAAACACAAGGAAGCTTCTTTGAACTCAGCAGTCCCCAATCCTGAGCCTGAATTGAGAAACTCAGCATGACCTGACCCCATGGTCACCTCCTCATCTGGTGCATCTCACCCTCTGGAGTGCTTATCCAGCTCTTCCACTTCTGTACTCTCCATCTGCTCTGGGGTCAACTCAGCTCAGGGATCACCTCCTCCAGGAAGCACCCCTGATTTCACAGACCCTACCTTGGCTCATTCTAGAGCTTGCCTCTCTGGTAGAACTCAAGCTCCTGGGGGCACCACCAGCCATGGCGGAACCCTGAGGTCTTGGTGGGGTCTGGCACATGGCAAGATGGTGGAGAGTTGCACATAGTGAGCAAGAAACGAGCGAAGGGGCCTAAGACATGATGGATCACATCTACTCCCACCAGGGATCTGCGTGGAGATTAACACCCTGCAAATGCATTCATATGTCAACGGAAATATAAAAGCAGGTGATAACGGCTCACTAATGCCGATTCTCAACGACACCATATTCCTAGGGGCCAAATTTCCAAAGAGCAACTGACCAACAATTGCTCAGTCCCCAGTGCCCGCTGGAAAGACAGAGTCCATGTCAGCCCATATCCAAACACAGTGGAGCCCACCGTGGGGCTTGGACATGGCCTGGCTTCACTCAGGACAGAAGAGGTTCAGGGAAGGCAGGTGATGGGGGTCCACTAACGGAGACCCATACCAGCAGGACATGAGGGCCTCAAGGGAGAAGCAAGGACCAGAGGCCATGGATTAGGGCTTTTCACTTACAGGCTGTGTTGCCTCTGGCTGGAGACTAAACATCTCTGAGCTTACTGTCTGTGACTGATGGTGGCACTCTCTATGGAGCCACCAAGTCCCTGAAACCAAGTCCACAGAAGTTCCACTCCTGAGTCCTGGGGGGGGGGGGGGGGGGGTATGGGATATCAGAGAACATGGCACCAAGCTTTCCAGGCTAACTGTTGTTCAGCCTCTCACAGACCATGCCTGGAATCCTCACTCCATGGTAATGAATATACCTGTCCAGAGGCTGGGTTGTGGAGACAATGACCTCTGACCAGTTCCAGGCCAGGTACACAGTCTGAGTTCCCACATAGTGTTTTCAGACAAGACAACCTTCCTGGGCCTCAGTTTCCCCTATGTGGCAGCTGGAGCCACAGGACATGTCACTTAAAGATTCTATGGGGGCGCTGGAGAGATGGCTCAGAGGTTAAGAGCACTGACTGCTCTTCCAGAGGTCCTGAGTTCAATTCCCAGCAACCACATGGTGGCTCACAACCATCTGTAATGAGATCTGGTGCCCTCTTCTGGCCTGCAGTCATACACGCTGTACACATAATAAATAAAATAAAAAAAATTAAAAAAAAAAGATTCTATGGGACCACTGCACATTTTGAAACCACTGCACATTTTGAATTAAAAATCTGTGGTTCTCTTCAGCCAGAGCTGAAAAATTGGCTATGATTAACAAGAGACTGAACCACTAAAGTGAAACTTCTGCTTTACTGGACTAATTGATGCTGGTCAGCTGGAGCTGAGAACTTAGTGGTGACAGAAGAGACTAGCATCACTGATATGAAATCTTCTGGGACGTGTTTCCTGAGTCAGCACACAGGAGCTGTGTTCAGAGGTGGCCAAGGTTGTACCTTGTGCTGGCAGTTGAACTTGGCGGTGTAAGAATCACCCGGGGGTGGGGGTTGAGGAAATGCAGGGGTCATGCAGAGCAGCTGAGGTTTGGCACCATGAAGAGGCTATTGGTGAAAGTGCAGCCCACTTGCAGCAGAAGATCCTAGCATTTGAGACCCCAGCACCCTGGGATGACACCAAGAACAGCAGCAGCAGAGGAGTGCAGCCTGCCCGAGCGTAGAAGACAAGCTGCATGTGCTGCAGAGGACAGAGCTGGAGAAGTGACCCATGCCCTTTGGAAGAGCCCAGAAGATCACGAGTGGATCCCAGACATTAGACCTTGTGCTATTTATTCAGTTGGAGTTTGGTTTTACTTTGTTCACATTGTTACTGTGCCCCCATTCTTCCCCCCTAAAGTAAGGAGATATTTAACTTATTTTTTATTTTATAGGCCCCCACAGCTCAAAGACTTTGAACATTTAAAGAGACTTGGACTTTTTAAAGAGACTGAATTTTAAAGTATTTGAATTTGTAAAGACTGTGGGACTTTTTAAATTTGTAAGCTATTTTATATTGTGATGTTGATGTTAGTGTGTGATCAAGAACAAGAAAGGGAAGGTTGTGGCTCAACCGTGATGTGCTTGTGTGTCAAGTTGATAGGGAATTGTGCTGGCTAGTTTTATGGCACCTTGATACAATCTATAGTTATCTGAGAGGAAGAAGCCTCAGTTAAGAAATGCCTCCATAAAATCAGGCTGGAGGCAAGCCTGCAGGGCATTTTCTTAACTAGTGGTTGATATGGAAGGGCCCAGCATGTGGATGGTGTTGCTATCCTCTGGCAAGTGGTCCTGGGTTCTATAAGAAAGCAGGCTAAGCAAGCCACGAGAAGCAGGCCAGTGAGCAGCACTCTCCATGGCCTCTGCACCAGCTCCTGCCTCCAGGTTCCTGCCCTGCTTGAGTTCCTGTCCTGACTTCCTTTGATGTGGAAGTATAAGCCAAATAAACTCTTTCCTCCCGATGCCGCTTTGGTCATGGTGTTTCACTGGAGTCTGATCTTTGGAGGTGTTGACTATCTGTTCCTGTTCCTTCTGTAGAGAAAAGCGTCCCCATATGCTCTGGGCCAGAGCAGTGTGGGTGATCCAAAGGGTCCCTTCTGTGTTACCACAGCCCTTACCCAGTCACCATCCTGTCTAGGTATGACTCTGCCTTGCTTTGTGTGCCCCACCACCACCTGAGCCTGACAGGAAGACAAGGGTATCCCACATAAGTGCTGAGGTCAGAGTCAGGCCAAGGCTGTCACTGGGACATGGAGGAGTGCCATTCAGGTTGAAAGGAGGCTGCCCTGACCTTGATCATCTGTGAGAGGTCGCCTGCATCGGCCAACTCCAGCACAATGTTCAGCTCATTGTCTTCGATGAATGAGTCCAGATACTTGATGATGTTCGGATGGTTCAGTTGCTGCACCAGAAAGGGGGGCGGGGGGGGGCGGGGTCACACCAGTGATGCGTTGCACAGCCCCAGTGCCTGCCCTGCACACATACCCCCAATACCCCTCCAGTGCAGCTCAGCTCATGGGTTCACAGAAACACTCCTTCTGTTCTTGTATTCTTTCTCAATGTCTCAGCCATCCCTTGGAAACCTAAGAATCCTTCTGAGCCCAAGCACCCCTGACTGACTCTCTCAGTGTGAGTTCCAGTATGCTGAGCAAGTGAATGAGGCCAGGCAGGGTGATAAAAATAAGCTCTACCTCACAGAGAGGACCCTGGTGGTGACATTATACCCACACGCAGTACTCAGGACTACTGCGAATTACTGAGGCCAGGGGTCTGAGTGGATAGGGCTTATGCAAAGGCCCTGTGGTAGGAGGGCCTAGAGCAACCCAGGGGTTGAACAGAGGACAGAGTGGCTGATGAGACAGCAAGGCAGGGGGTGCTGGGAGCCTAGGGGATGGGCATATGGGGAAAGGTGGGGGCAGGGACCTGGATGCCCTGGAGCTCTGAAAACATTGAACCAGTCAGACCAATTAGACCCTGGGTTATTTACTTATCAGTGTTGATCTGTCAGCATATATATGCATAAGACCTTTGTGAATGAGGTGGTGTCTCCCATCTGTGACTTTCATCTCTGTATGGTGGCTACGATGGGCATAGATAATTCCGGCCTTCGTTTGTGGCTAATGCCCTTGGTATTTGGGGACACCTTTGTGTGCTCTAGCTACGACATGTCCCTGCAGTTTTCTCCTACAAACTTTTGATTATAGCCTTACCCTGTGTTTTTGTTCAATCTTTGGGGACCTCATTCTGGACATCAGCCCAGGATGGCCTGGTATTCACTATGTAGCCCAGGCTGGCCTTTAACTCCTGGATATTATTCTGCCTTGGCTTCCTCCATATTGGAGTTAGAGGTGGATGACACCACGCCTGGCACAGCTTTAACTTTCCAATCTGCACACAGACTACAGAAATGTCCTCAGTTTAGTGTTTCATTTTGTTTTCAGACTAATCCATTTCACAACCATGTGTGTGTGGTGTGAGGCAGGGGTTACCGCTCGCTCTTTCTCATTGGCAGGTCCAGCTTCCCTGGCACCTTGTTCAAACTCTCCTCTATCTCCCGAACTGTTTTGTGGGTGTTTTGAGAAGGTTATTGAGGGCTAACACCAGCTTCCATGGCCATCAGAGAACGTTACAATTTTTATTCATTATTAGTGTGTGTGTGTGTGTGTGTGTGTGTGTGTGCATGCCATGGTGCCTGTGTAGAGGCTGGAGGATGGTCTTGTGAATCAGCTCTCCCGTCTTTCTATGGGCTCTGGGGACTGACTCAGGTGCCTTGCATGGCCAGGTGCTCTACTCACTGAACCATCTGTGCTGGCCCCACCTTGGTTTTGAGACAGGATCTCTTACTGATCGCTGGCTTGCGAGCCCCAGAGACTCTAGCATCTACACCTCCTCAGTGCTGGGGCTAGAGCACACAATACCTTGCTTGGCTTTTTTAGAAACAACCAAATATGGAGGTCGGGCATGGTAGCGCATGCCTTTGATCCCAGCACTCCTGAGGCAGACAAAGGTGGATCTCTGTGAGTTCAAGGCCGGCATGGTCTACACAGGGAGTTCTAGAACAGCCAGGGTTACACAGAGAAATCCAGTCTCAAAAACAAACAACAACAAATGGGTTCTAGGATTAAGGGCATATCCTCATGCTTACAAGGCAATCATTCTACCAACTGAGCTGTCTCCCAGCCCTGTGTCATTTTTATTTACACAATCCTCTCAATCCCAACAGGGAGATATTCCTGCCATTTAGATGATGGGCAAACAGAGGCTCATGGAGGTTAGGTCACTTGTGAAAGGTCACACAGCTTGGGAAGGAAGACATTAGGACTGTAACCCAAGGCTTCCCTCCTCTCCCAGCTTCCTGCCCTGGTGCCCAAATCTAGTCTGGAAAGTTCTATCTATGGCTCTGGGGAAATCAACATGGAGATCACTGGGAAGGAGGCGGGGACAATCGCAAACACACCTGATGCTCCATTTGTGTTGTCCTGATGGGCCCAGGGTGTTTGACCTACAGTAACCTGAAGAGCTGGCCCAACCAAGATTGGCCTGACCCAGGCCACTCACCTTTAGGAGACCAATTTCCTTGACACAGTCCTGCCTGGCTTTGGCATCCATCATCTCAAAGATCTAGGGCAAGAGGAAGGCAGAAATGGAACAGTTCAGACCAGAGCCAATGGCCAGGATTCAATCCCCTGCTCACCTTGCTCCTTGCCAAGGAGAACCAGTCCTGACTCAGCAACAGCAGGAGTCAGAGACCATGTTATCAGGTTCACTTCGGTCCCATGATGCCTCCTACATGGCAAGAGTCACTGTATCCAACTCACAGAGTAGGGACTGAGGACCACAGAATCTGAGCCTTGCTGAGGTCACACCCTGGTAAGTGATCTGTCATCATTGCTCCTTCAGTAGGGACCTGAAGCATAAGACTTGTAGGAACAGACCGAAGGCAGCCATTGCCAGTGTCCCAGCCCAGCAGCCATTATGCAAAAGAAGTAAGATGGCCCAGAATGCCCTCTGGAAAGGAAAAAGCAGACTGTTTCTCACTGCAGGAGCCTGATGCTCCAGTGCCCTGGAGAGAATGTGAGGGTCACAGGTCAATGCTGATACTACGCAGCTGGTGTCTTCCCATCCGCTCCCATGGATGCCAATGGTGATATATTGTGTAACCTAATAAACTTGCCTGAGGATCAGAGGACAGAGCTAGCCACTAGATTAGACATAGAGGCCAGACAGTGGTGGCACACACCCTTAATCCTATCACTGTGAGTTCAAGGCCACACTGGAAACAGAGCCAGGCAGTGCTGGCACACACCTTTAATCCCAGTACTGAGAAGCACACACGCCTTTAATCCCAGGAAGTGATAGCAGGGCAGAGAAAGGTATATAAGGCGTGAGGAAACAGGAAATAAGGCAGTTCAGCTGAGACCCTTTCAGGTGAAGACTCGAGAGAATTTCAAAGGATTCATGGAGTTGGTGAGGTAATAGGTAGTGGCTGTGGCTTGCTCTGCTTCTCTGATCTTTCAGCTTTAATCCCAATATCTGGCTTTGGGTTTTTTATTAAAAGGTCATCTAAGATTTGAACAACAGATGCCTGGCTGAGCAGTCCTCCCTGTCCAGGGACTCTTGGCCCCCAGGTGCTCACCTTACTCTCTCTGCAGAACCAGCAGAACAAGGCAGCCTGTGGGGAGGGTTCTAGGCACATGCTGTGTGCCTCCCAGCCTGACCCTGCTGCTGTATCCCTCCCCTCCATTTAGAAGAGTCATAGAGGGCAGGCTGGACTCTTAGAGCCAGAGCCCAGGTGGGCAGGGGGTACCTTGTTTTCCCCTAAGCTCCCTCTGGCCTAGAGAATTAGTGGGTTGCTACTGTTTTCCTCATCTGAAAAATGGGACAATAATCTCAGCCCACAGGGCTACTGTCGAGGCCCCATGTCTGAGCACATGCCTGTACACAATAGGTGCCTAATGTGTGCATACTTTTCCTTTATGTTTTATAGGGGGCTAAACTTGAGTCCCCTAGGAGGTAGGGTCACAGTGAAGCCACTTGGACTTGTGGCCCTGAACTCACCTGTACCTTCTTTAGAGCCACTGTTTTCCTGTCCAGCAGGCAGGTGGCCTTGTAAACCTCACTGAACTGTCCTCGGCCAATCTTCTTCTCAATCTGGAAGTCTGCCAGTGAGCAGCGAAAAGACACGGTGTTGGGGTGCCTCTGTAGGAGACGGGGTGGGTGATCAGTTAGGCTGAAGTAGAAAGACTGGAACTAGATGGCTGGGGCCTCTAGGACCCCAGTACCCAAACAACACTATCTAAGCAAAGAAGGGATTTCACTTGCCATCCCCCAAAACGGGCCTGGTAAGTAGAGTGTGTGACAAGTGTCAGAAAAAGACGGGCAGGACACAGTTAGACGCTCCCCATGAGGTCAAGCCAGCTTCAGATGTGCCGCTTACAACCGAGCTCCTTTGGACGGCTTGTGCCCATCGAAGTCACACAAAGAAGGGACTTTGTGGAGACTGCAGAGCCAACACTGAAAGCCATGATGGAACAGAGGGACCTGCCAGGCCATGCTCACACTGCCTCCTTCCCTCTGCAAGGTCAATGCTGGGCTGACCTTGACTCTGAAATCCTGAGGCACCCATGGAAGGTGGTTTGGAGAGATCCCTGCCTGCAGACTTAAGCAGGAGGAAGATGATTCTGCTGGGTAAGCACTTTAGGAACTGCCGGTACCCTACCTACCCACCAAATGGTGACTTAAGAGGACCAGCTTCCCCGAGCACTCTACATGCCTGTCACGGCACAGCTGCCACCCCACTGCTCCCGCACTGCTGGAAAGTGAGGACTAGTAGGGTGCGGCAGTGTCGGCCCCAACTCTGCTCTTCCTCCAAGGAGTGAGTCTGCCTTGCCAACTGCAGAAGCAAGCGGAAGTCACGCTTACAAAGAACCAAGGTGGCTCTTGGGGAGAGAAGCACCTACAGAGGAGACAACGTGCTTCTGCTGCACATTAGATACCTACTGTGTGCTACTTGGGGGCTGCTTTGAACTCCTGAGAGCCCAAGGAAGGACTCTTCCTCCAGACCTAGGCCTGGCCAGTAGAGCAGATTCCTTGCCAGATCTGGGCTTGTGCTACTGGGGGTCCTGGGGTGAGGCCCTCCTCTCTTGGACCTCAGCATTCCCCTGGTACAGTGAAGGATGGCGAAGGCGGAGCATCAAGGCTACTCGCTCGCTAGGGTAGGTGGGTGGACTGCTGGCTGAAGGCCCCAGTGACACTCTGCCCAGCTGGAGAGGCCACATTGCCCAATTCTGCTGTGGCTCCCAAGTCTAATGGGCGGGTGTGAGTTGGTAGTTGTGGGGTGGGGGGTGAAAACCACACTGAGGCCGAGGTTCTAGTTCACATCTGCATATGGATGACCCAGATTTGCATTTCCTGTTGCAGCCCATTCATCCCAGTTAGAGAAATAGTTTACTGTAGTGAAGCTTGGGTACTGCTGTGCACTGGGGGCATGTCCAGTGCACTGGGGTGGGAGACTGCCAGCAAACTGCTGGGCAGGGTGCTCCTGGGGCAGCCTCTGCTCAGGTGTGGGGCATCTCAGGACACAAAGGCTCTTGAGCATTAGAGTCCTGACTCTGATTTAATTCGGGGGTAGGGTTGTAGAGAGAGTCTTCTCACCCTCTGGCTAGGTCTGTGTTGCCCTGCCTTGTCAGGCTTGTTTCCCAACTCAGGGTACCCTCAGCACGGTCCAGTTTGCTGAGCACCTGAGTAACCCTGAGCCTGTCATCCATTCACTAGGGCTGCTGGCAGGGATGACACAATGGGAAGTCATTCCTGGCCCCTTAGAGCTGGGGTGGCCCTCGGTTGTCCCTCAAATGCGGAGGAGAGAACCAGGGTCCAGGGCTATGAGGAGGCAGGCTGCTGATCCTGCAACAATCGCCCACATACTGCTTCCTAGCACAGTAACCCCAAGGAGAAGGCCTGAGCCACAGAGGGAGGATGGTGTGGATCAAGAGGAGGAGGACGATGGAGCAGTCTCCGAGAGTCTGACCACAGACAGCAGGAGGGACCTGCTGTATGAGTCAAGGAGACAGCTGAGGTCCATGGCAACTGTCCCCAGCTGCATCCTTCCTAGAAATGTCACTAGTTTTCTGAGGCCCAGGCAGGACATACAGGGAACAATGGGAGAGGCCTCCCTAGCAGACTCATCCTACCCCAGAAAGCCAGAGAAACCCAGGCTTTCTTTCCCAAGTCAGATCAAATTAGGCCACAAATACTACCCCCCAACCCCTTTGCTAATTTGAGTTTAAAATGTTTGAACCACAATATGCTTTGGCCATCGAAAAACCCTTTTCTCTATACGCTCACTCCCTAAACAGGAGCATAGAATTACATGTTAGAAGGATAAAAATGCATTCGCCCAATTAATTTTCTGAAATCTCATTAAAAAATTTAGCCTGACTAAGTCAGACTTCTGACCTGAATTTTAATCATCTTTACACTGGACGGGCCTCTTCTCCCTCATACTGGTGACGCATCATTAATTTTAAGGCAACTGTTTCTATGATTTTAAAAAGCACACTTCATCAGCATGACATTTCCTGTAAATGAATTTCACCTTTAAAGACATCTGACACCATGTGTATAGGGAACTTACAGGGGACTGGGTTTCTATAAAGCGAAATGTTTTAAATATGCGTTGCATAAAAGGGCTCGATTTACAAAGAGTCCACATTGTCAGACAGGGCAAGGCCAACCTCGCTCAGCAGAGTGGCCGATTTCAAACCCAAAGCCAACCTTCATTGTTACTACCCCAGAGCACTGGCTGCTTCTCCTCTGAGGCAGAAGAACTCAGTGATCATACTGTTAGCACGATTCGTCACTGCCATCCTCCTATCTTAGAAGTCTACCAGAGGCTTCACGGACCATCAGCGCACAGAAACACTAGGGAATTACTTGTAGCATAGAGACATTCTGACAGGCACTAAACATCCAAACAGCAGTTCCCCTCCACAGGATGATTCTGGTACCCTAGTGAGATGGCAGCTGAGAGCACCTCCAGGCAAAGGATAGAAGATGAAGACTAAAGGTTCTCCACCTCCATGCCAGGACAGTTGGCATTTCCCTGTGGGCACTGCTCTGCTCCATTGTTACCTCCACGGGCCTTAAGCCTCAGCCATAAGGGATCTTTATAAAACCCACAACGGGCTCCTCCTTTGCTACGGGCTCAATTCAAGTGACCAAGCACCAGTTCTCTGCTCTTGGCTGAAGAAGTAGAGGTATGGTGTGGTGTGTGTGTGTGTGTGTGTGTGTGTGTGTGTGTGTGTGTGTGTGTGTGTGTGTGTAACCAGCTTGGCCTGCCTACAGGTCTGGGGTCTATAAATAATCTCTCTGTCCTGTCCGATTCCTGGTCATCCTCTGGACAGAACCAGCTCCCCTCTTCTCTGTTCTTCCCCAAGCCCTGAAGTGCTCTCCTTTTTATCTGTTTATAGAGGGCTCCACAGTAGGCTGCGAGCCCCAAAGGCCAGTTCTCAGATAAAGGTCTGAAACAATCATTTTCTAAATTTACAAGCAAAGCCAACACTCTTCAATTTTGTGTGTGTGTGTGTGTGTGTGTGTGTGTGTGTGTGTGTGTGTGTGCGTGCGCGCATGTGCACATGGAAAGAAGAGGTCAATGTCCACTGTCTTCAATCATTCTCCACTTTACTGTTGAGACAGGGTCTTCCACTGAAGCCAGAGCTCACCAAATTTGGCGAAGCTGGATAGTCAGTGAGCCCCGGAGACCCACATGTCTCCCACTTTCCTGGTGCTGGGTTACAGAAGTGTACCACTTTCATGTGGATGCTAAACATCTAAACTCGGATCATGCTTGAATGGCAAGCCCTCCACCGACTGGGCCACTTCCCAGCTCCTTGGGTTTCAATAGCCATTAATATTTGATCCTTAAAGCTTAGCCATTGGCCAGGCAGCGGTGGCACACGCCTTTAATCCCAGCACTCGGGAGGCAGAGGCAGGCGGATCTCTGAGTTTGGGGCTAGTCTGGTCTACAGAGCGAGATCCAGGACAGGCACCAACACTACAAAGAGAAACCTTGTCTCAAAAAAACAAACAAAAAAAAACAACAAACAAACAAACTTAACCATCCACCATCTGTGGTGGTATTGTGTTCCCCAAAATATTGTGTACCTTAATAAACTTATCTGGGGTCAGAGAACAGAAAAGCCACTAGATACTTGGGATAGGCAGTGGTAGCACACGCCTTTAATCCTAGCATTCCAGAGGCAGAAATCCATGTGTTCAAGGATACAGCCAAGCATGGTGACTCACGCCTTTAATCCCAGAAAGCCAGCCTTTAATCCCAGGGAGTGGTGGTAGAAAGCAGAAAGGTATATAAGGCGTGAGGACCAGAAACTAGAGGCATTTGGCCTGGTTAAGCATTTTAGGTTTTGAGCAGCACAGTTCAGCTGAGAGCCATTCGGATATGAGGACACAGAGGCTTCCAGTCTGAGGAAACAAGATCAGCTGAGAAGTTGGCCAGGTGAGGTTAGCTGTGGCTTATTCTGTCTCTCTGATCTTCCAGTGTTCACCCCAATACTTGGCTCCGGGTTTGTTTTATTAATAAGACTTTCTAAGATTCATGCTACAACCATCACTTCTTTGTTTTGTTTTGGTTTCTTGAGATAGGGTTTTTCTGCGTAGCCCTGCCTGTCCTGGAACTCACTCTGTAGACCAGGCTGGCCTCGAACTCACAGAGATCCTCCTGCCTCTGCCTCCCGAGTGCTTCCATCATCAGTCCTTCGGGAAGGTTTACATACAGATTTGGGTCCGTGACACACACACCCATGAACAGCTGCCCCCAGGCCCCTGCAAAGTATGTACACGCCTCTCTCCAAATAGAAGTGAACTCAGCTTGCCCAAAGTAGGTTTCTGAAGACATGTTGGCAGGATCGTCTCACATAAGAAACCTTCCCCCTTCTACACAATCTGCATCGTTCTTCATGGGTTGCCTCTTCTGAACTCTATATAGCATTCACTAGATCCCAGTTAAAGCCCAGCTTTCCTCCATGTATGTGAACCTCACAGGCCCACGACATGGTACAGCAAGCAAACTTCCATGCACTCATGGCTCTCTCAGCTTCTGTAAAGCCACTGGCTTTGTGCCTGGAAGTAACAAAGCCATAGGTGGATTGTTATGAGCTCCTGACCTTTCTGCCTCCAGAGGGCAGGCTAAACGGTGGGGGCTTTGGTTGTAAAAACTGCAATAATTTTTCAATTATAAAAATAAAGTCTACACATGGCATTTTCATGCTAGAGTTAAAAGCACATCATGTCATTTAGACTTCACAGAAGTCTCAGGATGGAAGTGCCATCATTGTCCCCACTCTACAGATGAGGAAGCTGAGGCCGAGGGGCATTATACCCAACCTTGGAGCAGGTGGAACCTCATTCCGGGTTCTAAGGATGGCCTGCTGGGATACATGCTTCCTGCCATAAAGGGACATGACTTCATGTCCATTCCAAATGTTTTAGTATGCTGACATGGGAAAGGCTTGGCTGCCATGCTCCCCTGATGGGGTCAAAACCATAGACACTGTGAGAGGACAGAGGATGTGCCTGGCCAGTGCTACCCTGTTCCAGCCTGGAGTTTGCAAAGCATACTTGGCCATGCACCCCAAGTCTTCAAGCCTGGCCAGGTGCAGGTGGGACTGGGGCATCCTTGCCTGACAACCACTGCCCAGAGCAGCCGACACTGAGTGATTGCATCTAATTACACTTAACTATGTTATCACCCACACCAACATGTGCGACAAGCTGCCGAGGACACTGTCACTGCTGCCTCCTCGCCTCGCCTCGCTCGAGAAATAATTACAGGCCCTCTCTCCTCTGCCAAATGAGCCTGTAATTAACCCTAATTGCCCAAAATGCAACTGGCTAATTCTGGGAGATTAATCAAGGGGGATTCAATTGTTAGTGAATGACTTAATGTGACAAATGGCTACATTACCTAAGCAGGCCCTGCTGCCCGGCCATCAGTATCATGTCCCGGCCCCAGCTCTGGAGCTGTGGCTCCCCCAGATTCTACCTGGAAATGGACTACCGCGTCCCAGCCAACAACGAACACACAGCACAAATGGCACAGATGTCCTAGGACTGTACACACTCACAGTCCATGAGCTCACGTGGCGTGTGTGTGTGTGTGTGTGTGTGTGTGTGTGTGTGTGTGTGTGTGTGTGTGGTTCTGCAGTAGGACCCTCTCTTGGGCTGACGCAGCCCTATGCCACAGATCACAACACAGCAAGACTGCAAGCATATATGAATTTAAAACCCACTTGCCTCCCTGAGCAGATGTCTATGCAGTGCATAATCCACACAACAGGTAGACCCTTTAGTCCTCCACCAGGAACTAGGAAGTTCCTGGCCTTTGGGTGAAAAGCTGGCCCTGCCCACAGAGTCCGGAAAGATCTGGTCCAGGCACCATGCCTGCTGCCCTCTAGGCCATTGCCTGCTGCTGTGGGATGCTCTGTATGCTGTGAATGTGTTGCTCTGATTGGTTGATAAATAAAAAGCTGATTGGCCAGTAGCCAGGCAGGAAGTATAGGTGGGATAAATAGACAAGGAGAATTCTGGGACGAGAAAGGCTGAGTCAAGAGATGCCAGCCCACCGTCCAGGGAGCAGCATGTAATGGCACACAGGTAAAGCCATGGAACACATGGCAACATATAGAGTAACAGAAACGGGCTGATTTAAGTGTAGAGCTAGTCAGTGGTAGGCCTGAGCCAAAGGCCAAGCAGTTTTAATTAATATAAGCCTCTGTGTGCTTACTTGGGTCTGAGCGGCTGCGGGGCCACAGGGACCAGATGGGACACAGAAAAACTCTAGTTGCAGCCTGTCCCTTCCTCACAGACGTCCATCTGGCCCTCTCAGCTGCATCAGGTGTTTTGCTTGGGCTCTGGAGTCCTGTGGTCCTTTCTGTTGGTGTTTTTATGTTTCTATTCCTGGAGGCTGTGCACTCCCTGAGAGCTGACCTGGGCCTGCCTCACGCAGCCCCATCCTAGGCAGTGCACTGCACACACAGGAAGTATTCTGAAATACAGATGTATTTTGCTGACACAATGGCACAAAGAATGCCTCTGTGCATGGGGCCAGAGACGTCCTCCATCTAGTCGGAAGGGAAGACCCCTGCAGGAATGAACAGCCCAAGGCCAGAGCCATGTGGGGGCGAGCACACAGGTGTGGGTCAAGGGCAGAACGTCTCCTCAGAGAGTAGTATCCGGCCTTGTGGCTTGGAGGAAGACTGAGAAGGGCATTCTGTGTCAGGAAACAGAGTGGGCAAAGGCACCGAGTGTGCCTGGCACTCAGAGGCACCTTCAGAGCAGTACTAAAGGCAGCTGGGCCCTCTGAGACATCTAAAGCCAGGGTGAGGTGGGCATGGAGAGACCACCTCTAAATCATAAGACTGAAGACGGCTGAACACAGTTCAGACCAAATCAGAGGCTGATAGTGACCCAGGAACAGAAGAACTGTTTCTGCTCATCCATGAGTCTCTCCTCCCTTGCACAGACCTGCAGACATGGAGCTGCTCTTTAATGGAATCCAAGTATCTTTGAATTAAGCACAGGGCTTGAGGTACCCAGAAGCATTCAAGGAGATGTTCTGCATGGGCATACTATGCAGCTTCCTACAGGGAATGAGGGGTTGGTGAAGGACTCTCAGTGTGCCTGAGAGACAAGAGAACAGGCTTACCTGTGGGTCTGGAGAGGGCACAGGCCCCAGGGCATGGCAGAAGTTGTTCGGATTCCCTCCGTGGGGCGCATGGCTGGGCTGTCCTGCCATCCTGCATGCCAGCCTCACAGGGTCACAGGCTGCAACAGAAAGTAAGGGTCTGTCACTTTCTCCTCCTGACCACCTGTTCCATTTTATAGATGGGCAAGCAGAGGGCACAGCTGTCACTCTGATCACTGTCACCAATTTACAAGTGACCAGTCTGGGACTCAACACTCCACGGGATACCTTCTCTCTATAATGTACTGCCTCAGTTGCTAGGACTGTCCATTGGAAGGGGGAAACTGAGGTACTCTGCAGGGAAAAGAGAACGGTTCACTCCAGGCCAGACAGGAGGCCTGAAGTACTTATTTTCCTGCTGCTGTGATAAAACACCACAAAAGGAAGGAATTTAGGAAGAAAGTTTATTTTGGCTTATGGTTCACATTGTTAGAGTTCATAATGGCAGGGACAGCATGGGAGCAGACATCGTAGCCAGAGACAACATGGCAGCCAAGGGAGCTGAGACCACAGCATGAAAAAATAATTTCAAAGCCCACCTCCAGTGATGTCTTTCCTCCAGCAAAGATATACTACCTCACCCTCCACACCAGCAGCACCAACTGGGAACCAGGCATCCAAACACCTGAGCCTATGTGGGACATTTCTCATTCAAACCACCACGAGGCCCCAGATTCAACCCTGCACTACCAGACATCAAAGCCTCATTTTTTTTCCTGCACCCTTTCAGTAAAGGACTGGTCTGTTCTGCTGTCCCCAACACCACTGCATAAAGCCAATTGGGCAGTCTGAGTGGTCAGGAGAACAAAGCCAGACTCTGGCAGCACCTTCAACAATGACCTCACATCCCCACCCCTGCTGGACCCCAGTGTAGCAGACACGGCAACACTGGAGGGCCCAGGCTCTGTGGGTAGCTCTCATGTCCAGGGCTGAGCTGATAACGCTCCCACTATACACCCAGTCCTGAGCGAAAGGTCACTGGGTGTCCCCATTGTTACTTCTACTCCTGGTGCTAGAGGCAGCTTCCAGCTTCCCCACCACACAAGCCTCTCTGGGGCAAGGACCAACTCGATGTGCATGGAAGCTTTCTGGCTGGGGGAATGACCTGCACTGAACCGCGTGCTCTTTTTGTGTGGGAAAGTCTACGTGCACCCCACAGTATGTTTTTAATACCTTCCATGCGCCAGGCCTGGGTTTGGGGTCCCACGAGGCACATACGAGGCATCAGTGTAGTAAGAAAGCCCACAGCATCTACAGCCCCACCCTTTGTGTCCCAATCCCAACCTAAACTCCAGGGGTCTTGACCCAGGCCACTGAGCAGCTGTACTAGTCTCCAGAGAGCCAGAAGTTCCTATGATCACGATGACCTTCCTAACATCTCCAGTAATGAGCACACGCCCCCACAAGCTGGTCAGTCCTGCTGTGTCTGTGTAACCCACATTGCAGGGCCCTAGCTAAGAGATTGGTTGCACCAGCCCATTTTCTGACACTACACCAAAATGCCCGAGTCTGGGCAACTTTGTAAAGAAAAGTTTTATTGAGCTCACAGTTTTGGAGATCCAAGGGCTTAATGCCAGTGTCTGATCAGCTAACGTTACAGTGATGGGGACTCCTATGAAAAGGGTAGATCACAAGGTCAGACAGGATGCCAGTCATTCATTGGGGGTCAGACTTGAGCTTTTATAACAACTTAATCTCTTGAGAAAAGTCCTTCCTGGAGGCTGTGCCCCATGACCTAATGACCCCCCACTAAACCCTACCACCATCCCTCAACAGCAGTGAGACAGGAGCCAACACATTGCTACAGTTAGAACGGACAGCCTGCAATTCTGGTAGGGCTGTAAGCCGCTCCCCGACCCTCAGAGACTGTTGCCGGCCACACCAGCCAGGAGTGTTTATAACTTCTGGGCACACCAAGGGCACCCAGCCCACTATAGCGCGTACCCTGGCCTCCAGCGCCAGCCCTCCTGTATCCTTGGGCAGTCCTTTGCCTTCGAGTGGCTGCAAATGTGCGTGTGTGGGGGGGACAAATCTGGATGTGCACGCACAGGGCAGAGGGCCACAGTGGTGTCTTCATCAACATCTTTCCTCCTTGGAGACAGTCTCTCACTGACTCTACAGCTCACTGATTTGGCTACAGTCGCTGGCCCACTAGGCCCAGGGATTCTCCTTTCTGTCTCCTCAGCATGTGTTGCCACGCACAGCTTTGTATGTGTGTAGGGATTGAACTCAGGTTCTCGTGGACGTGCAGCAAGGACTTTCCCGACTAAGCTATCTCCCCAGCCCCTCCCTGCTCTTTGGGGCACTTTATATACTCTACAGCACATAAACTCAACAACAGGAGTGAGGCCACAGGGGACACAGGCAGACTGCAGAGACCCCTGCCAGCAAGGGCTTCTGCCAAGATAGCCATTCCTGGCCAGCACATTCATGTGGACTTCCGTCTGTGACATTAACCACCTTTGCTGTGGCTTGTCCTCACATGTGGAGATACACACAAGCAGTCTCTGACTGAGGGTACACGTGGCATCACGGGTGGGCCTCTCTCCCCCTGCACCCACCCACATAGGCCTCACAGTGATGCAGATGGGCCCAGATGCCCTCAGAACCTTCCATCTTCCCACCATCTGGCTGAGCATCCTGTTGCAGCATCCCCCCTCCCCAGGGTGACATGGTGGAGGAGCTGGGTACAAAAAGCCTCAGGATAAACAGATAAGCGCGGGGAAGCTTCCTCAGGCACTGCTGTTACTCAGGGGGAAAGCCTGTGACAACAAACTGGGTATGAGAGTGAGCCCGATGTAAAATGCGCATGAATTTGAAGATGAAGCCAGAGGCTCCTGTGGGCTTAGCAGCTGGTACAGGCAACACCCTCCACATCCCTCAGGGTGACATGTTCACCGTCCTCTGCCCTTAGGGGTACCTCTGGGAAAAAGTTGGAGAGAACTGTCTTCAGGAGAAGGTTCCATCTTTATCACAGAAGGCTCCAGAATGGGCCCACAGGCTGCCCTGTCCTGGCCATTCATGTATCTGTTCTCCTTCCTACGTGCCTGTCTGGACCCTGTCTCTGAATTCCCCTTCCCTCATCCTGCCTTGCCTAGCTCCAGCCCCTAGGTGTTTCGGGCGCACAGGGTGGGGTGGGGGTGGGGATTGTGTGAATCTGTACTTTTCACTTACAAACTGGGATCCTGGGCAAATCTCACTGCGGAGCCTGGCTGCTGTTTGGGAAGGTCATGCCTCCTGGATCAGGCCTCCAAACAGCTCTGTGGATTCAAGGTGTCAGGACCATGAGGAAGGGGCCCAAGCCATCTCAGAAATAACAGATAATGATGACGACAGTTGCAAAGGCCCTTAATATGCCCTTCATCCCCGTAAACTTAATTCCACGAGATAGAGGCTGCAGTCATCCTACTGAAATGACGACTCTGAGGACCAAGGGGGTTGAAAAGCTTGTCTAGGTCACATGAATGAGCAGGGGGCAGGACTTGGACCTACGGGGGCATCCTTCTTCTGAGGCTACCACACTGTCATCTTTTCCAGTGGCACTCTGTAGAATGAGCCCTGTCTCCACTTAAGAGCAAAGTGGTGCCAGTGCACAAGTTTGGGGTTAGTAACCCTAGGGCCAGTGTCCACAAAGGGCCTTTCATTCAACAGAAGCTAATGGGCACTGCCCTCCAGGTCACACCCAGCTACTGTGCACATTGTCTCTTCTATCAAAGCCCCGGCATTAGTGAAGTGCTGACATTCAGTGCAGCCCCATGCACAGCCCAGAAGTACCTGCCATGGTGTTCCTCAGGAGGACAGCCCAGCCTGACGAGAGGAACGTTCCAGGTGGAAAGATCTAGAAGGGAAAGAGAGAGGGCCCTTCTTTATGGGCCATGTTTCCCACTCATCCTCAAGGCTTTTGGGAAACTCATTTTATAGGTAGGGAAACTGAGGCTCAAAGCCCTTTGCCCAGCAAGCTACAGGTCCAGACTTCAGCAGTTCTCCTTCCAAGGCTTTGGTTGTCCCCAGGGAGTCTCCAAAGGGCAAGACTTGAAGAAACCTGCATTCTGTAACACCCCAGTGGAAACCCAACCTCCTCACACCACACATTTCTACGTAAAAACGGCTTCTTCCAGAGTCAGCCGCAGGAAGGCTGCATACAGGAAAGGGTATCTGGGGGGAGACAGAGAGTGCAGGGACAGACCAGAGGAACATGCTGTGAGTATCATGGGGAGTCTTTGAGCCCTCTGACCCTGGGGATTCCAGGATCCCCAGCCCCTGCCAAGCTGCAGCGCAATGAAGCAGTGACTGCCAAGCCCAAGACAGGGGCCAAAAATCTGTGGAATGTAACTCAGAGCCACAGCCTCGCTGAATCATCTCAGACCACCCTCCTCTCCAGGGAGCAAGCACCTATGCTCTGAGGCACTGAGACATGCACGTACCATGTGGCCTCTCATCTAGGCTCCTGGCTTTCATGTGAAGAACAACAAAAAGCTGTCATATATCTACCAGGCAGCCAGAGATGAACCTGGAACAACCTAGGGCTCAGGAGGGGTCTGCGGGAAAGCTGGATGGCTGAGTTCAAATGCTATCTCATTTCTCTATAACCAGCACCTCAGTTTCCACACCTGGGAAATGGGTGAACCATCAGATGGACCTCTGGGAGTATCTAGGTGGATTGCATATTTTAACAGATATACATTAGGAACAAAGCTGGGTACATGGAAGGTGCCAGAAGCTCTGGCTGCTGTAAGCACTATTTTTGCTAACCTGCACTGAGTAATGAAGGGTACCTGCCTCCATACATAGTAGTCATGGGGGCTGTGGCTCAGTCAGGACCAAACATTTGCCCTAAGTCACAAAGATACCCATGTCCTCCTTCATGTGAACTGTGGCCACTCTGCCTGGCCTTGGATGAAGCCCTCGCTAATGTGGCAGGAACCCTGGGGAGTCAGGGTAGGCTGGGTGCTGTTTTAGGTTGGACTCTAAGTTCTAAGTGGCTTTTCTCCCTGATATTGGCCCTTGCCCCCCCAATATCTGGTGTCTTTATCTTGGGGTAAGTTCCACCTTTATCTTCTGCCAAACACTAGTCCTTAGGGAGGCCAGCGGTTCCCAGGGGCTCTCTGTGAGGGTGACCCAAGACACCAGCAAGGCTCAGGCAAGAGCCCTGCCCAGAGTACATATCCAGCCAGCTTCTGATGATGGAAACCTAGTCTGGTGGCCACTCCCTGGAACCAATAACTGACTGGAGAGGTCACAGGCTAGCACTGGCCAAGGTGCAGCCTAGAGTTAGAGGTCCAAGGCCCAGCAAAGAGACATAAAAGGTCCCAGCTCCTAGTCACCTATGGAGTCAAGGCTGGTACAGCTTCAGCATCAGCCAACATCCACAGGTGATTTGCTGTCTCCTAAGATGAGGTACCATTACCCACACTGTGCAGATGATATAACTAAGGCCCCAGAAAGGACCATGGCACCACTTGACCAGCTTCTCAAAGCAATGCGAAAGAAATCCAACTGGTGAGTGCCTGCCACATGGACCAGTTGGTAGAGAACTGGACGTAACACGGTGTGCACTATGTATATTCCATGCAATTGCTAGAATGCACATGCAGAGGAGGAAACGAAAGTCAGATGGGTTGAGTGACAGCCCAAGGTCACACAGGAGGCAAAAGGCACAGTTAACACTCAGTCTGCCTGGTCCATCCACAGTGCCTTGGAAAAGAGCACAAATGGCATGCATGAATAGACTGAATGAATGAATCCTGCCCGGACAGGCAGTCACGGTTGCAGTGTGCTCCCCAGGCCAGTGCCCCTTCTTTACTGGTCTCGGGATAAGCAGATGTTGTCGGTTTATTACTTGACAGGAAACAGTCAGAGCCAGAATTCTGGGAGCCTGTCAAGCTGGAAAAGACACAGATGGTGTCTGGTTTCTAGACTGGTCCTGTGTCCCCTCACCCTTCCCACCCCTCCCATCCAGAGCACACACACTGCTCAGATGCTGCAGCTCCATGGTCAGTGGACATTCAGCTTCTCTAAGTGCAGGCCACACTGAGGTAAATGGGCCCCTTTTCCAGGCAGTGAGGCCTCCCCAAGGGGGGCCTGAGAGATGTGGAACCAGCTCCCTGGAGCTGCGTGATGCCCAGGGCTGCCCAGGGCTCCCCACACTTTCCTCTCCTATTCCCTCCCTTGCTCCCTGCCCCAGCACCTCTACCTAAATCTACTTTCCTCTTGCCAACCTAGGATCCCTCTGGGGTACTCCAGACCCAGCCACAGCCACACTCAGCATGGTCAAATCAGCTTCAGCCTGCCCTTCCTGAGTTCCCATCTCAGCAAGAACCAGGCTCCACCCAGAGCCTCACCTTCCCTCACAGCCCTGAGTGAGCTTGTTGACTCTGCCTCCAAAGTCTCCTTCCCTCAAATCCCCTCCTAGACCTAACCCTTCCCAGGAGTCCCTGCTGCCCACCTCCCACCCCCATCCCACCATGGGAGGGTTCTCTTTTCTGATTTGTTATGTGTGTGTGCTGACATGCTGACTGTGTACACACGTGAGGAGACCAGAGGAGGCCTTCAGGAGTCCTCGACTCTCAGATTCATTCCTATGAGACAAGGCTGGCAGCCACCAAGTCTCAGCAATCCTCCTGTCTCCCTCTCCCCGAGACCCCCACCACTCATGCTGTGGTTATGGGCATGGACAGTCATGCCCAGCTTAGTATGTGGTGCTGGGGATCTGAACTCAGGTCATGCTTACACAGCAAGTGTTCTTACCCACTGAGCCACACATCCCCTCCCCAACAAGTCTGCACTGATTCCAAGGCAAAGGCCACAGGTCAGAGTGAGATGTTCCCAAGCCATGCCCAACTGGCACTGGCCTGCTCACTACATGCCCATCCTCCCAGGCAACCCCACAGCTACACCACAGAGCCTCCTTGCCCTCTGACAGCACCTCAATCTTCCCAGACTTCTCCATGCATCAGCATTCACCCAGAAGATCTATCCATGGTCTCTTAATTCACAAAGTCACACTCACCTACCAGGGTCAGGTCTCTGGCCTGCCTTGGGCTCAGAAATTGTTGTGGGATCTTGGCAAAGTGTCATCCTCTCCCTGAGTTCAAAGTTCCTTAGAAAGGAGGGGCATCCATACCTCCCAGGGTGGCCAGGTGGTCCCAGTATGAGAAGTTCCACATGGATTTCTGCCTAAAATCAACACTTAGCTTCCTCTGTCGCCAAATCTGCTTCTGAAGCTGGTCTTCAAGAGCAGAAACTGACCATAGTGTCATCTTCAAGCTGCTAGGCTGTGGGAGGCACGGAGGTCCTTGTGCTCACAGATAAGCACCAAGGAAACCAGGAATGTTAAACACAGGGTTGTTCCTTCAAAAGCAGGGATGCATCATCTGCCCAGAAGGCTGGGAACAGACATGGTTAATAATCTGTTGACCACTGTACTATGAGACCATACTGGATCCTCCCCTAGACCCTTACTGTGAGCATGTCAATCTATAGAACCCATCTTTATGGAAGATGTCACATGTACTTTACAAAGAGTTTTTGATGTAGTTACATCTTAAGCTTTATTGTACACATGGGATTGAGTTAATTATCACCAAAATTTTTTTCGCCAAATTGTGCTGTGCTTAAATAGTACTAAAATAAACTACTAGGGGTCAGATTCTCAAAGTTTGAACCAACTCTGGCTACAACCAGGTTGTACTGAACCAAACTGCCGCTTCCTCCTCCTCTTCCTCCTCCTCTCCCTCCTCCTCCTCCTCCTCCTCCTCCTCCTCCTCCTCCTCCTCCTCCTCCTCCTTATTTTGGTTTTTTGAGACAGGATTTCTCTGTGTAGCTTTGGAGCCTATCCTGGAACTCGCTCTATAGCTCAGGCTGGCCTCGAACTCACAGAGATCTGCCTGCCTCTGCCTCCCAAGTGCTGGGATTAAAGGCATGCGCCACCACCGCCCGACTCCAAACTGCCTTCTTACCTCCCATAGATCTTTACTTTGCTGACTATAGTGGTCACAGAGACACCCCACCACCACCAACAACACCACCACACATACACTAAGGCCTTGCCCAGGTCTGGCATAAAAGGACCCAAATGAGAGATGACCAGACAAACTCTCACTGGCAGGCGGAGAGGCCCCCAAAGCCTTGGAATCCCTGTGAGCACAGATCAGGCGGAAGTTATCAAGCGACTTAGCCAAAACATCCAAAACAAACCATACCATAGACTGTGGGGTTCCCAGAACTTGCAGAAATCAGCGGTGGCTCCTGGTCACATTTCTGTTACCCTTCTTGGGTAACAAAGGGGCTATAACCATCTCGTCTCTTCCTTAAAGGAAGAGTGACACACTGGGGTTCTATGGGGAGGCCCTGGTTTAAATTGCGACAGATAAAGCTGAGATCTGCTAATTGCATCCTCCGCACACATCCCCACCTGTGGATATCTGCACCCCCATTTAACAGGTCAGGACACTGAGGCACAGAGAACTTAGATGACCTATTAAGTTTGTAAACAGTGGGACCTGTGTGACCCCCAGTCCTGATTCTTCAAAAGTCTGGGATTTCTATCACTTGCCTGGAGCGGTCCTTGGAAATTACCAGGAGCCAGAGGCTAGGATCCATTCCCTGGGATCTTCAGGGTTCCTAGGAAACACACCACCCCAGCGACTCCTGCTGAGCCCTTACCCCAGAAATGAATTTTCTCAAGACCTTGGCAGGTTCTCCTATGTCTGTAGTGAATGGTCTCCTGGCAAAATTCACTCCTACCCCAATACCCAACTGCACAACCTCCTCCAGGCAGCATTCTTGACTCCCTTTCCTGCCCCTGGTGTATCACCAGCAGCGTGGCTCTGGTCCTTT